TGTGTGTGTGTGTGTGTGTGTGTGTGTGTGATCTGGTGCTAGCTCGGAGATTAGAAGCCCCCCCCCCAGAGGATGTGAGGTCATCACACATAAAACAGGCTCACATGGAGAGGATACTAGATAAGTTTGCGCACTCATTACACTACACATTTTTCTTGGATTAGTTAACACCATAGTCCCTAATATATTTGTAGATAGGCAGGAAATGGAATTAAATCGAGAACAATGTTTCATTGCGGAGGACCCCCTGTTTTGTGTCCCCCCCACTTCTCAAACCAAAGTTACACCCTTGACTCTCAGTAATGAACTATACAGGTATTTCAATGTAAATAATTTGGTGTATGCAAAAGGAATATTATGTTGGTGCAGTGAAATAGACACATTAAACTCTTAGTCGAGCTTGTGCTCATTGGACGTTGCCATGGAGATCATTAAAGTTTTACATAGTATAATTCCGAGTCTTTTTGCAAGAGTATTTATTCATTTATATCTGTTGTTTGCTTCTGAAAATGGCCTAGAAGAGTCTTTGCTTTGGTCCAAAACTGATCTACAATATTTAACATTTGGTAAATGGCTTTTTTCCCCATTTTTAATGCAGTACTTTTCTGTCCCTTCTTTATTTAATTCAGTTCTGTGCATCTTACCGATGCTCTCATGGTTTCGTACAGCTTATTAGAGCGCCCACATTGCAGTCAGGGTCCCCCAGGGCCCCTCTGAGCACATGGGAACAAAGTTTGAGGCGCCTAAGGAGCACTTCAATTGCCAGAGAAACTGAAGAACTCAAGGAAACATGTTTGCATGTCACTGAGAGGCGATGTATAGATTCTGGCAGAGAATAGTTGGACTACGCTTAAAGAAGTAACTTGGCCAAGCTGGCTGCCAAAGCCCACAGACTGAAAAAATATCTCTGTTGTCTTGCTCATCTTTTAAATCCAAACAAGATGTATTTTTCCTCTTACAGTGCCTGTTGTCCTATTTTATTATCTAAATAATTTAGGTGTAAGTTGCCCAGTGTTAAAAATACTGGCCGTAGGGATGTCTGCCTTCCCTCCAATGGAACTAGATGGTGCTTCGCTTGTGGTTCTCAAAGATCCAAAAAGTACATTTAAAACTCCACAGCAATGTCTCGTTTAAGAAATCGTGAACAGGTCACCCAAAATACTCAACAGACCTTTGTTTTGAGCTGATTCATGTAGGGACTATTTTCTTTTTATCAAACTACATCGCCAACCATTTCACCTCGGAAGTAGGAAGTGTATGTCTGCTATTGGACATAAGACTTTGCTAAAATGTAGAGGAGACATTAACTGGATCATGAGAGCAGCTTGTTCATGTGTATAAACCAACTTTTGCGCGATGATACAGTAGAAAGGATTTTTTTCCTGTATTAATAATGGATGATAAATCAAACCCTTAGTAACCCAAACCCAAACAATCTAGATTGATAAGTAGCACTACATGCAAGAAAGAGAAATGTGTAGTTTTGATTTCCTGTTGAACTGTACATTTTTATATATTAGGAGTCAAGCAAACAGTAGAAACCTTGCATGACACATCTGAGGATTTAACTGGCCATTTGAGTATTTTGACTTTCTACGTCCTGTTGTTTCTGAAACCTTGACTTGAAATGTATATGTGCATAGGTTCATTACAATCTGTGAACTCAATCGTTACTGTCATTCAAACCTTTTGAGGAGGTTTGAGATCTGTAAGGCGGCTTGTTGCATGACAGCGGGGGAGCTGAAATAGTAATTTAATCTCTTTCAACAGGTGCCTCTGCAAACTCAATAGCCTGCCAAACACACAGAGAAATATTCTTGAACCCTGGCTTTAGTCAAGTATTTGGCTCTTTTGGAGAAACAATATATCCCTCAACAGATGGTTGTAACAAGAGGAACACCTTACAGAAATATACCTGATACACTGTTGGGGATTCCTGTCCTCGTTTGCTTGCTGCAACCTGGATTGTAAATCATATTTAATGTCACCAGACGTGAGGAATTTACAGTGTAGTGTAAGTGTGTAATTGCTGTAATGGAATGACGGGGCTGACCTTAAACTGTCGCAGCGAAGTACGCGACTGGTATCTCAGTAGTATACTCAGTATGCATGCATAATAAATGATGAATGCTGTGATACACATGTGAATATACTCTCTCTATTCATATACAAAGCCTGCTGTTTGCACTTTCAATTTGTAAAAGGCTCCACTTATTTGGAGTCTGGCTTCTTATCCAGAAATGTTAATACCACTCATCAACTGTGATTCAAAAATAAGCACCCAAGATCACTTCACTGTTTAAGAAATGCCATTAAAAGGGCAAATATGAATATGAATATATGGTGTATGAACTGATAAGGCCAGGACCCCCATAACAGAGCTCACAATCATTTTTCATTTATCCAAAAACAAGACAAAATTACAGTACTTTACTCTGGCTCGCGAAACTGCCAGAGTAAATGTTGCATTGGACTCGACCTGATGTTTTTGAGGGCGTGTCGGCCGCTGTAATTGGGCTGAAGGGCCAGAGAGAGGCAGTTAAGTTGTTAATCTCAGCGTCAGGATCTGTCTGGCATCCCGTCCCAAGCGTGTCAGCAAGTATAGTGGAAACGACGGCCAGCTTGAAAACACAAGCTGAGTAATACAGTGACTTCTATTGTTTTTGCCCAGCTCTTTAGCTCGTGCTCAAATGCTGGCACAGAGTACCGTAGATTAGAAACAGCGGTCTTAACCAGGGCTGGAATCCACATCGACCAACTTTATACTCCAACCCAAAAAAGTCTCTGGTGGAGCTGCTTGAGTGTATAGGACTGTTTCTGTAGCTCATTTTTATGTCCAGACTGGAAGTTCATTGGGTTAGTGGTCATAAAAAGAGGGTTTTATGTTCCGGGGACAATCGATTGAGGCCTGTCCCAGAATGGAGTTTTTCCGGCTTAATTAACAGAAAATGTAATTAGCTTAAAGCTGTGTTGTACCGCCATGCAAGTATTAAAGCTACATTTCAGAAATGAAGGGATTTGGTGGCAGGAAATATTGATTTCCTACCGAGAAGGAGCCCAGTGAGATTTGATGAGGTCTTGCTGCAGCATGAACGTCCTTGTAGTTAATGAAGTTGTTGCACTTGATGAGATTCAGCTATCAGAGAGCTTAGTTGGCTGCAACGAAGTCTCAACAATCTGTATGCTAAGCATTATGGTCTTTTGTAGGGTTATTTCAATTGATTTAACTGTAACTGCTTCTACAGGCTAGGGTAGGTATTATAACCCTTTTGTATGTTGGGGATCTCAATAAATGAATTGCTTACAGGGTCTTTGGAACCAAAAAGTTGGTAATTGCACTGCTTTTACGCCACATTTATTTTTTAAATGCCCTCTTAATTTGTGGATCAAGTAACATTTCTATTTATGTTGTCTTATACATTTTGGCAAGTATTTCTCTATTATCTAACAAAACTATCAAATTTTGCATTAATGTTGCATATCATGTATGTTTTCCAGCTCTTGTTTACGTGCACACAGTAACAAGAACAACAACAATGCTACACCAGTGCTCTAAGCCCGAGCTAAACAAGACCAGATGTGAACGAGGAACATGGTCTCTGTATTCCCCTGTGCCTTGGTTGCTCATGGCATCACGCTACCTCCGACTGGCCAGGACAAATTGACCTCAGACAGAGCGATTTGAAAACTGTTGTGGAGTGCACTTCGTTCCTCAAGGCAGTTCTTCTTTCTCTCTTATTATGTTGTAATAAAAGCTAAGACAAGTGAATACTTTGAGATTTTGTGACCCAGTTATTGTGGGATGGACTGCCTCATCCATTTAGTCTGCATGGATGTTGAAGTGTGCAGCTAAGGTAGAAAGGGGAAAAAGGAAACTAGAAGAGTGAAATAGTATGAAACTAGAAGGGCACTCGGAGAGAGCAAACCTCCGTCAAGGCCGTTTCCATAAGTGAAAAATAGTGTGTGTATCCACCCCGTGATTCAGATTCTGCTCCAAAATGTAATGGTGTTCCTTGGACAATGCTACACCATTCCTCTATGTATATTGGGCCAAAAGTTTTTCATAATAACGTAGACAAACAAACAACCCAACAAGCGGAGCCAAAATACAACCCCCTTGGCGGAGGCAATAATAATGTACAGAGTACAGAGTACAGGGAGTAGTTTTGAACCAAGAAAGCCCCTCACTAGCAGCCCTGGTCTGTTCAGTACAATGCCTTAGGTCTTTCAGAAATGGACATAGTACTGATGATTTGCACAAGACTTAGAACTTGTACTGATAGTACTTCTAGTGGAGATGACAAAGGCTCAGCATAACCCTTAGGATTAATTTTCTGAGTAGAAACAATCTTCATGGCAAATTTCATGGAAATCAGTAAATTCAGTTTTACATATGTTGTCATGGAGGAGTCGAAACTGTGGAGCCTTTTGACATGATGGCAGTGCTACATGAAAGCAGACGGTTGATGGAGTTTTGACCCCAGGTGCTCAAGGAAATATCAGGGACATCATCCTAATCATTGAGCACCGTGTTCCTGGGTAGACCTCTGAAATGGCGCTCATTGTTGGCTGTTTCCCACAGTTAGAGAAATAGTTGATAAACTATAATGACACTCGGAGAGCGTGGACCTTCTCTAGGCCCATGGTGCATTTACGTGCTCCTCGTATAGTCAAAGTTCCTAAATTGGGAAGTGGTTCTCCAACTTTGGTGTGTTTATGAGCGTTAAGTTGTTATGTGGTAACTTGAAAGAGGATGTGTAATATTTCAATGTTCAGAGCGTTTACAGTGGTTTAAGAGTTTTTACTTAAGGGTGCGTTCATGTACATTTTCTGAGACGGGAACACATTTTTCGATTATTACATCTCCTTAATGTTTGCATCTGTGTGTATGTTCAAGTCGCAGTGTGTTTTATAGTCTATGATTTACCTGCAATAACCATTAAACAATCAGAGCTATGCTATTTTAAATTGACTTAATCTTTCTTTGTGTCCATGCACAGGAGCAAGAGGATCCCAACAAGCTTGCGACCAGCTGGCCTGACTACTACATCGACCGCATCAACTCCATGGCTGCTGTAAGTCTGTTCACTTTTACTAAAATCTCCAGTTGAATACAACATATTACATATTGCTTCCAACCTTTAAGCAGAGACAATCTTATTTGTATCTTTTTTTTATCACTATTCGAGAAAATTACCTTTTTAAAGATTTGTAAAATTCTACTAGTAGCATTACCTAAAACAAATCATCATGAAACTAACCCAGTTGATTACTTACATTAAGGCAATTGTTTTAATTACAACTTTTTCTGAATGTGTATATATAAGTATGCAAATTAGGCATTATCTTATGCTTACCTTTTTTTTAATGAGGAAATTATACACCAAATTAAAAAAAAATGTCCTCAAGTCTGAAAGGAGACATGTTATGTTCCCCTTAAAGGTAGGGTAGGTAAGAATGGAGAAACCAGCTCGAGTGCGCTAGAATTTGAAAGTACGCAACCGGAAAAAATCTGCCCCTTCCTTCAGACTTCCTTACAGAGCCCCTCCTCCAACACACACGGACGCGCACATGACCAATGAGGGCACGAGATAAGTTTGTGCAGGAGATTGAAGACTGACAGGCAGGTAGGCCATCCAGTTATTTTAGCCAGGCCGGCTCAGATAATTGGTCGTGCTTTTTACAGCGCCACGGCTTCCACATATGACATTTTTTTATGTCATTCATTTAATTTAATCTTTTATTTGGCAGGGACAATGCACAGTGATGAACACTTAAAACATGAAAAATGTGTCAAGCGTTAATATGTTTCTTAAAAGTCAAGTTCGAGTCCAGTATGACTCCAAGATACTTGAAGTGGGGGACTAGTTCTATTTCTGCTCCGTTTAAAAACACATTGGATCCTTCGATTTTGACTGGTCGTTTACTGAACATCATGCATACTGTTTTTTTTGCACTTAACTGTAAGCAAATGTTGTTCAGCCAGTGTTGAACCTTGTCCAAAGCTTTTGAGAGACAACATGAGATCATTTCAGTGTTCTTCCCATGTACAAAGATGACCGCATCATCGGCATACATTTGCACATTCAACTCAGGACACACATTAGGCAAGTCATTAATGTACAGTGAAAACAGTAATGGTCCAAGAATGGAACCTTGTGGAACCCCAACAGGGTTGACAAGGTAGGGGGATTTGGCACTATTGACCAAAACACACTGTTTTCCGTTCGATAAGTAAGACTTAAACCAATGTATAGAAACTGCAGAAAAATTGAAATGAGTCAGATTTGCAAGGAGTATGTATTTATTATCAAAGCATTTAATGTATTCATTGCTATCGGGATGTTAAGAGCATTCCATGGAGTTTAACAAAAAGTGTTTCTGAAGCGAATTACCTACCCTACCTTTAATAGCACTCTCTTAAACTTGTAAAAGCAAAAATGTTTGTGTAGTGCCCATCTTGCTTCCTCATAATTACTATATAATTCACTTTCTGAGCATCTGACCACCACTCATGAGAGGTCACTGTTCACTCAGTCATCCCCTCTCACAATCTTGGCTCATTTTTATCGTGTCCCTGCTGACTGCTCGTTATATTCGCATAGCCACATTCCTGCGCTGTGACCCCGGCATTCACACACACACACTGTGATGACAAAAGGCCATTTAAACACTCAGCAGTTCAGCCAGCAGGAACGACTGTCAAACACAGAGCCACACACAATATTCATTTTTTTCTAGCAACTTTGGCCGCCAGTAGGAACAGCGTGATGCTTTCAAAAAGACATCCAGTTTGGGACAGTGACCTCTGACCCGGAGTCCTTATGTGGACGACAAGTTGGCTCCCTAATGTTTGCAGAGCATAAAACATGACATTTTAAGAGGGGCTCTTCAAAGTTGACATGTAAGCATGACATTTAGAGTCATTGGTGGAGAAAGTCTTAATGGACTTTTCAACCATCCGACTAGAGCGATTTTTTTTCTAAATCTAGCCAAGTGGTTCCAAGCCATGAATCGGATAAAGTGATTAACCATAACTTACAATATAAATGTAGGGCCAACAAAAGTAATGGCATTTCATATCTGTTTATTACCATGTTGTTTGTTTTTGGGGCGAAAAAGACCCTATACTATAGCAACAACCCATGTGAAGGGTTGCTATTTTTACAGCTTTTTGTTTACTGCCTCCACTCCGGGGACGAGAACGGGCTACTTCTGTAGGTACCTGAGCTCAAGTCTGGAGAAACAATTTTGCTGTCATTCTTTTGAAGGCTCAGGCGGCACGCACACACTCTCGCAGACGTGCACAATATTTTAGTCGAGAGAAAGTGCTGATTTGTGAGTTGCCAGGAATTTTAAATCCACCAGGGCTGCAGCGGTGCCTCTGTGCTATTATGTGTCAGACACGCCGTTAGAGTTATGTTTCAGCCTGACTTTTCCTTTTTTACTGTACCTACTGTGCAAAACAACCTGAGTCTGTAAGTGATGTGTATTAAAGTCTTGACTTTTTTAATAAAATAAAGTGGAGCATTGTGCCAATTAGATGAGATATTGGCGTTCACTTGCTCCAGGCCTTTTCTAGAAAGTCTCAGTTCATAGAATTGCACAACAAGTAATGGAAAAAATGTGTTTTAAAAAAAAAGAAAAGGAAAGGACACAAGTCTATTCAAATTTAAAGTTATTTAACAATTGTTTTTTTGATTCAAATAAATCAAAATAAGGTTTGGCAGAAAGATATTTTTTGCAATTTTCCTCCAATTAGTCCCTTGGTAAAGCATCACTTGACCACAGTCTCCCCTATTCACTATTAGTCGACCATTTCCCTCCTATTCCTTAATTGTTTTTAACTCCCACCATCAATCATCCATTTTCTCCAGCACCGTGAACCAGGCAGCATCGTGACAAAAGCGATTTTCAACATTTGGAGGTCCTCTGCTCATCCATGACTTCATGTCTTGGCCCCTTTCCGTGCTCACAAGGGAAGGCCCCTTCACAGCAGCTGAGTTATTGGATGAGCTCATTTTGTCATTGATGCCCTGAGAGATACAACCAGCATCTTGATGTTCATTCATAAAGTCAGAGTCCTGATGTTGCTGGTTGTCGTGATAATTCAAATGTCTTCGTGACTCTCTGACAAGTTGCTTTCAAGTGTTACATCTAGTTTTTTAGCTGTTAACTGATTTCATTTATTTGAATTAAGCAGTTTATTTAGTGAAGCCTGTTTAACGTGATACACATTTGTTAAAGTAGCCTACATTTAAAAGTCAACCTTTACCTGTGCAATAAGAACGTACAATATGTTTGTTACCTGCTTTTTTGGCTGATACCGATAAGTAAACTGACAATTTAAATGTTCTTTACAAAATAAGTTAAAAACCTTTAAACGTTGCACATCGGAGGGTAACATGAAATGATCAAAGATGGATGATCTATACCATACCTCAATAAATCTAACATCACTATTCAAAAAAATACAAAACACAGTTCTGAATCTTTAAATGTTTTTTGTTTTTTTCTGATAAAGTAAGTCATAAACCATCTCTGAAGTTTCAGAAACTGTGAAAAAGTTTTTGAGTTCCCCAACCATTCTCTAAATGATGTCAAATCTATTTTTTTAAGATTTTATTCACTGTTCTTGTCAGTGCTCTAGTAAAACTTGAGCTTAATGGCAAAGCTTCTGTTTTGGGAAGTTCTGTCCAGTTTACAAGCTACATTGCTTAGCTGTGACGTTAACAACATGGTTTCTTACCATCTACCTGGCATTCAGTTGAACTCTAAACAGAGCTGTTAATGCCACGTGTTTCCGATCACATCATTCCTATCCATTTCAGTTGTTAGTTTATAGCCACATAGTAACTGCTACGTTTCAGCTTGTCTTTTGTTAGCTTAATTATGTTTTGTGCCTCTAACTATTTCAATAAATACTTTTTACTTTGCGCATCAGTGACCCACATGGTCTTTATTAAGGTTTTGATGAGCTGCACTCACCACTCACTGGGTTAACAACGCACCAATGACCAGCTTGAGGGCATGGATCTGGCTCTGGGGGGCACTTCCCATAATGCGGATTAAGGGAAGTACCTTCTGCTGGTTTACCAACAGGCTGTAATAGCATCCTCATGTGCCCATTGGCCAAAAGTTCGGAATGACTTTACGAATAGCAGATGTAGCAAGGAGCCATTTGGCGAGACTCATTGACATGTTGAGCTGGCTCGCAGCACGACCAAAACATCCACTCTCCCCAACACTTGTTGTGTCCAACTTCCCATTGACTATGAACATATTCCTTGAGAGAAACAGGAGCCAGAGCCTTTGCTTCTTGGCACAGGGTCCGCGAGCCATCTGGACTTGAGGCTAGGTCGACGCGATGGATGTTTTGACTGCACTGTTTCTAGATTAAACACTTAGAACAGAGCTATTGCGAGGTAGTCAAACATGGGGTCCAACATCTCTTAGCAACGCTGGCTCAAAAAGTACGATCTTGATTTGGAATATTTGCACCAAATTATGACCTGTATGCCTTTTTTTCTTTTACAAATATTTTAAGGACTGGAAAACAGGGTCACATTCAAGCAAATATTTATTCAAGGCAAATTAATAGTCAGCTTTTTGACTAGCCTACTTCACTGAAACGCACACTGTTTGAACCTTAGCAGTTGGCAGTGACTTGCCTTGGAAAAAGCCTGCAGAGGCTAAACAGAAGCGCTGTGGCCCTGACTAATGGGAGCACAGCATCTCTTTGATGTTGCTGCGGGGAGCCTTTAAGTGATGCAGAAATGAATTAACACTACCACCGGTCTAAGTGCTTTTTTTTTAAAGATTTGTTGTAGCTTGATTTGAGTTAATTGCCTGCCTGAATTATTTTGGCACCTTATATAACTTCAAACAGGGGAAACAAAATGGGAAGAGGGAGCTACTAATGAGGCTCTAATTATCTGTGATGCAAATTGAAAACAATGTTTTATATATGTACTATTGTTAGATGGCTTCCAAAATAAGATAACCTTTCTAGTTTTCAGCAATATCCATCAGCTTTGTATTCACTTTTATTATAATTATCGATCAATATGTCGATTATTTTCTCGAATACTCTTAAAGTTTGGTTTATAAAATGTCATAAAATACCAGTTTCCCAAAGTTATGTCTTTAAATACCTTGTTTTCATAGTCCAACGCCTAAAGATAATCAGTTTAATAAGATATAATACACAATTTTGAAAGAAATCTACAGTTTTGTATTTGCAAAAGTAGACGTTTTTCTGACGATCAACGAATCAATTTATCGACTTATCATTGCAGCTCTATGTTTCACTAAATTCAATTTTTATTTAATTTCTCCGAATTTTCTGCAGATGCAGACCCTGTTTGCCTTTGACGAGGAGGAAATGGAAATGAGGAACAAGGTGGTGGAAGATCTGAAAACAGCACTTCGGACTCAACCAATGAGGTAAGAGGACATTTTCCTCTGCTGCAGGCACCACAGAGCTCTGCAATGCTCACTTCTCCTTAAAGTCATGCATTCCTACTATAGGACTTGTTGAGGTTATGCCGCATGTATTACATCCAAGTCTGTCTCTTGTCATGGCAGGGTTACATTTAAAAAAAAAGAAGAAAAAAGATCTTTAAATATCTTCCAATTAAAATACGCCCAATTAATGATATCGTTTCTATTCCTGACATGGGCATCCACAGCTGTTAGGCTTCACTCGTCACCAAAAAAAAAACACAAGGACATTGGACAGACCTCTAATACAAACCGCCCTCCTCTCCCCCCGTCAGCAGCTCCTTTAAGTCCGTCCCTCAGCCCGTGCCAGTTGCATGATGCAGTGGTCTGGACCAAAAGCGGGGGTGTTGAGTTTTCACAAGTGACAGACCTAATGTGCAGAGTGACATAAACCCGCGGCAGCCTCAGTGTCTGGGTCATGTCTGGGTTAAATGTGTGTTTGAAGGCCAAGTGTGCGTACGCTTGGCTGTGTTTGTTTCGGTGCATGTAGGGGTATCCAAAACACCATAACTAGAAACACGGCTGGTAAGAAGACACTAGATTCCAGATGCATGGCATAAGTTGTGTGCATTTATACCAGCAACTTGCTTGAGTTGTTGTAATAAGATGAGGGAAAAAATGAATCCCGTAAACCTGGGACAACAAAATGTGGACTTATATCTGGTCAACGTGTCCATTCAAACAGGCTTTTTGAAGATTTGCATGTCAGGAAATGCGATGAGTGGAATCTTGTCATGTCATTTATGTCATAACCTGCTTTAGCACTAAATCATACAAATGCACAAACATATCACAATACTCCTTTATTAGTAACTCTTAAGAGTGGTAAAGCTCTTTTTTCTCACTAGTTGATGTCACAGTAGATTTCCAGAGTTGATACACAAAAAAGGCTTGTAAAGGCAACATCACTTAGAACTTTGTCTTGAAGAGTTATGATTCTCCCTTAGTCAGTATCAGTATTGTGTGGTTTGGACAGTTCAAACTGTAAAGATGGTACATTATCCAAAAGGTACATGCTGAATGTTATGCTAAAAGGTATTTCAGGTCAACAGTGATACATCTTAGATTTTTTTACTATTTTGATCATTTGCAGGTGTTTAGCCACTCTGTTTCCCCTATTTATCACTAACTCCTTTTACTTTATTCAAGTGTATTCTATCATCCTCAACAAAAGTGGCTGTGATCAGTAATACCCCTGCACCCAGGCTGTACCCTGAGTGAGTTATTGCCCATTAGCACGCAGATGTGTTTTTCAGTGATGTGGGGAACAGGTGTGTCCCACAGTATATGAGTTTTCAGGGAAAGCCAGGGCAGCGTGTAAATGTCCTCTCCTTGGTGACAAATGGGTGACAAAAAAAGAGGACTTTCTGCTTGATAGAGTGTGTGTGCGGTACTTTTTTCCTTTATGGCAGCAGTTACTGAGACACGGTGGCATCTATGTGTTGATTTGTGTGTTTGGATGAGTGCCCGATACTCCCTCCCTCCCTCCGGTATTTCAGAGAGGCAGCTGGGTCTGCTTGTGAAGAGGTGCCCTTGTGCCCTAAGCCCGCTCTGCAGGGCCACAGGACACAAACACATGGTGGGCATGCAGGGTGCCAGGCAGAGCGCACAAAACAGCACATTGTCAGCAGAGAACCCACTCACTGCCTGATTGTCATCCCCATTGAAAAAACGAGGTGACAAGGTTTGGAAGATATGTTCCCCTAGCGGTAATGAATATGGAATGTGATAATGACACCGACAATAATAGTTATTTCAAGGTAGCAGCATTGAAAAGCTTCAGAATATCTATTTCAAAGTTAAATGATTAAATTACTACTTATTAAAACAATGTAAGTGTATATTTAATTGTAACAGGATACATTTTTAAAGTAACCCTCCCGACCCTAGTAATGCAGGCGTTAATATTCCACTAAGAGTTTAGTAACGTGTTGTATTCCTGCTTTCTCAACTGAATTAAAACCTAACAACTGGAAGCAGAATGACTACTGATGTCTTTAATATGTCTTAAGCATTGTGGGTAATGTAGGAGAACGGAGGTAGACGACAACAATGTTGGTTAAAGAAGCCCTTTTATGCTTTTTTGAGTTATCCTTTTCCTGTAGTGTGTCATATAGGTTTGTGTGCATGTAAATGGTCTGCAAAGGCTAAAATCCAAAAGTTTCAGAAATGTCTCTCCCACACATTGTACATGATATACTAAGAGGCGGGACATCTTCGTAGATTCATCTTCTTATTACAGACACATGCATTTCCTAACATTTGGACTACCTATGTTGTAAATGTATTATCTCTTTGATTTACACACGGCATCTATTGCACGTCTGTCCGTCCTGGGAGAGGGATCCCTCCTCTGTTGCTCTCCCTGAGGTTTCTCCCATTTTTTCCCTTTAAACTGTGGGTTTTCTCCGGAAGTTTTTCCTTGTACGATGTGAGGGTCTAAGGAAAGAGGGTGTTGTTTTTTGTCATACTGATATTCTGAACAATCTGTGCTTATTGTATTAGCTGTAAAGTGTCTCTACTGTAGGCTATTTTTATTATATGTCCAGCACTTTGGCTCGACCAAAAATCGTTTATAAATGTGCTATATAAATAAAACTTGATTTGATTTGACATCTCTAAACAGTTGACCAATCACAACAGAGCTGGCCAGCTAACCAATCAGAGCAGACTGGGCTCTGGTTTCAGACAGAGGGTGAAAAGAGGTGCTGCAGCACAGGCAGTATGAGAAAGAGCTTTCTGAACATTATAGCATGTAAACATTTCACACAACCAATGTAATGGCCCAGATGTCTTATCTACAAATATACATTTGATTAATCACAAACAGCCATAAACAGAAACATTTAGAAACTGGCTATGTTTGTCTCTTAGTGAGTTTACAGCTTATCTGGTTCCGCTACCAGCTGTTATTGCTTTGCTTACCATCTGTCAAATGGAGCTTGAACCATCACCTGTGTTTACTCACATAAAGCTGAAGTGGGCATATGAGGGCCAGCATGCAAACACGAACTGCTACAGCCATGTAGTCAGCCTGGTGTCAATTTAGCTTCCAGATATTTAAATATTTACCCTCCCTTGTGGTTCTTAAGCTACACATTCAAGTGTGCTTACATACAGTAAGCACTGTTGACCCATTAAATCATCTGCGCTGATGTTTACGTGCGTGTCGAGGAGCATACCATGTGCACATGCTTGTATCTCACCATCGTGTCATTTCCCTGGTGAAATAACTCTGAGAGGACAGGAAATGAAGGTCACTGAGGCCGTTCTGGCCCAGAATGCATCACATTCCCGGGGCTCACGTCTGCAGAGCATCGCAGCGCTTCCCAAGAAGGTTTTCGCAGGACATTGTTTCTGCAAATGTCATCCAGCAAGAATATTGACTCGAGTGGACTGCAGGCGTTCCCCCTGCTCCTGTGTAAATAGCTCATTGGACCATTTGCTACCCCCACATGCAAATATTATCTTTTAAAACATTTTACCGCCGGATCTCTCAAAGGTTTTGCCTAACAGAATTGGAACCTTTTTTCCCCAAATACATTAGAGGAGGAGCGCAGTATCACACATTTAAAACATCTTGGATGGGCTGCTTTTCTCAGAGAGCAGATTTCTCTTCCCTTGGAACTTAGCATGTAATGGGGGGGGCGGATAAAGACAAATACAGTTTGTAGATGCATGAAGCTTTAAGAGCAGGTTGTTTTTGTTGGAATGGCAATGAACAAATGGAGAGGAGGAGAGTGATGATGTTAGGAGAGGGAGTTGTTTACTGTTCTTACTGACAGACATGTGGTGAATTAAATCAGCTCTATAACACAGCAGGTGAATAGGGTAACACTTTTAACTTGCATACAGTATATCACCATGAAACTTCCCAGTTGATTACTAGATAATATTGTGTTGTCTTATAAGTCGTCTGAAATGTTATGCTGTATTATGAAATATGTGCTTATTCGCAGACAATTACCTAACAGAAGTCTGAGCATTGGATAAAGACACAAATAGATAAACTATTTCCACCAGTCTGAAAGAAAACATGTTATGGAAGCAGCCAAAACTCTCAAAATGTACCACTCCATGAGAAAACTGTTTGCCTTTAGTGTCACACGCTCACAAATAAGTCACAGCAGACTGTATTTTCATATTGTATAACTGTGTTAAAAAAACAGCAACACACACATAAACTTCTCCCTGTAGGTTTAACAGTAAACTAAGTCTATAAAAGCCATTCCCTTCCTGCCATGATATACTATACACATCACAGATGCGCAGCTTGGCTCGTGGTTTTATTGTGATCTCTACATGTGTGTGTCAGTTTTTATGTGTGTTGCCCTTAGTTTTTTTTACCACAGCTTATATGCTGGGCCTCACATCAAGTAAAATGTATTTGAGTGAGAGCAGTGCTGATATCATATGACTTGTCTTCCAACGCTGCAGACACCTCGGTCCAATAGTTAAAAGCACACCTCTGAAGGACCTCGGGGGCCCTTGTTCAAACTCTGACTCTTTTAACGTAAGACATAGGCGCATGTGTTTGTGTGCCTTAGGGTAGGTGAGTGGGTGTTTGATGGAGATGTTAAGTGTGTGCGAACGGGGTGATTAAATGTAGTGCGGAAGAGAGGCAGGGAGCACATGGTGGCTTGAGTGTAGCGTTCTGATAAGTTTGTATGGTTAGGCTTTGAGGCAAGACTGAACTCTCGACCAACGTGTCACGCACGGGTCGCCCACAGTTAAAAAAAGGCTGCATGTTTTTGCCTCTGGAGCTAAAACCTCAAAAAGTCCAGTTGGTTGGAATGAATTTAAATTTGAGCATCTGGTTCTGCACTGTCTTCCTCATTCAGAGTATTGTCAGCATTTGGTTGAGGGGTTTTACGCTGTTTAGAACAATGAAAATAACATGACTATTTTTTAGCGTAACCAACCACACTGGCAAATACTGTAAAAATGTTTTGCTACCTCTGGGTTTTATTTCAATTTCAATCAGCACCTCACATTACCTTTGACCGTCCTTGGCCTCAACACACTGTCACTTTCGTTATGTCTTGTCCCATGCCAAGTTATATTCCTCGCTTCTTTCCATTGTCTGTCTGAACAGCTTGATGTGTGGTTAGCTCGACCTTGGTATTGTTCAGCTCTGCCTGAGCTCATATTGTATGCAGCAGTTGTCGAGCTCTCACTGTCTCGAACGCAAACCCAGCGGCTTTTCAAGTATGCAGCGGTGGTTCCAAGAACAAAACAAAAAAGGGAAAAAGGCCTGCACGCCACTCGCCTCAGCATGAATGTCAGCGGCTCCAAAGTCAGGGGAGATGGGGTCCATTGATTTCTCAGAGAGCAGAATTCTGATCGCTAGAGAGAAGATGAAAGATGCGGAGCGGAGAAGAAAGTTATGCCATGTGTTTTTGTGAAATGTTGAGCATGTATGCAACAGGTCTCCAACAGATCCTTAAAAACCTATAAAACACATTTTGTATTCATTAATCTAAAATTGAACCATTAGTTTGTATATGGTAGGAATTCTCAAATATGACAAGTAAACTGGTTAAATTATAATACCACAGAATATTTCTTAATTGAAAGGAAAGCAAAAAACTGCACTGAAGGCTTTCCTTGACTGTCTTTGGCAATAGTTAGATTAACAGATGGTTCTATGGATAACCTGAAAAGTATTTTTGAAAGTTCCTGCCCTTTTCCTAACGGTTTCCAATTATGTTTCTGTGGAAATGTACCGTCTGGCACGTCAGGTCAGAAAATGGACCAGTCAATGTATACAAGACAAGTGTTTACAACTTAACTGGAATACCACAAGGAGATTAAAAAACAACTAAGTCAAACTTTAACACACTCCTGTTGTGTTTATCATTTCTTTCTTCTTCCACCCCTCTACCCCTACCATCACAATTTATCCTCCTTTCTCTGTTCAAGTGAATGCACTGGTGCATAGGATCAGTTCATCCATTCTTTTTGTGCACGTGTGCCTGGCAAGCTTTTGGCTAGGCAGCAGATCCAAGTAAAGCAGGCAGCGAGCGAAGCCTTGAATCCCGTCCACCCTCTTGAACCTCCCTCCAACACCAACATCTCTCACCCTCCTGCTTTCCATACGTTAATCACAAGGATGTTCAGCTTAATTTCTCTCCCGGAATGAAACCTTTTTCTCTCTGAGGCGGACAACCGCTGATATAAGATGTGTGACTTGAAACAGTTGGATCATTTCTGCCTTGCTCTAGTTCCAGTGTCTGTGCTTCATCTGAATCAAGTTGTAGCTAATGTACTCGATTGATTTTTTTTTCGCAACCTTGGTGGGGAGCTATGGCCGACATGGCAGCTTAAGCAAGAAGCACACTGTCTGTTGTGTGCGCGGTCTTTACCATTCAAATACATTGTGGGGGAAGGTCGGCTGTAAGCGTGCATGCATGTATGACCTCTTGATCTAACACTGTGGGGCTGCTGGAGATCACAGGATTGTGTCTTTGAGAGATTTACTGGTCATGCCAGGTGAAGTCTGCGCGTGTGTGCCTATGTATGCTGGAAAATCGATGACTGATCGTGTGTAGGGATAATAATTGGATGATTTACATTTGTCATTGTTTTGTCCATGCTTGCTCGAGCCAAGTGGAACTTCTGACAATGTATCTGTTGCAATGAGGGGCAATACATTTTTAACTCAGACCCTCTCCTCTTTTCTTCACTGTCCACCCCTCTTCTCTTTTCCTCTATTCGTCCTCTGGCTCTTTACTCCTAATACAAGCCCTCATTTGTTTGATTATTTATGAGGCCTATCAGGAATCTTAGTGAGTGGGAAGGTCATTTACAATAGAGCCCACGGTGTTCTCACTAGATGTGACTTCGCTCAATGTTTACACGTCCTGCCTGTCATTCAGAAAGGTCTGCTTCTCATCCAGCGAGGGTAATGACTTGCTGAGTTTTAATTAGTTCAACTAATTAGGGTTGTCAGTAGGAGATTGGATGACATAGGCAATTCTTGATTGGTAGCACTTAATAGGGGGATTCCGTCAGTTTTAAACAAAAAGGTCAGTGTCCTCGTTATGTGGAGTACTAACTGTTTTTAGGATCTTGGCCTTTATTACTGACTAAAAGTCGGGATATTAAGATTGTGATAATTAACCAATTCTAACAATTTTGATGATCAACTGTTTGAGTCGATTACAGCCAAACCTTTGCTTTTTCACACCCCTCAAATGAAAAGAAAAGACCTACTGCTTTGATCAGTTCTTTATTATTATTCATTTTTAATTTAACTTATATTTTTGGACTATAGTGAATTGAAGGCTTTAAACCGTGGGATATTGTGAAGAGGAATTTAAAGATATCTGATTATCAGATAAAAAAAGTGTTATATTGATAAAGCATATTTGACGAGATGACAGAAACACCAGAGAAATAAATGAGGAATGGTCTACAGCAATATGTGAACTTCATGGTTTATGAGAACCAGGGCACTGCAGCATATCATATCAGATGGTTGAGCTGCTATGTGTGTGTATGTGTGTGTTTGATAAAAGAGAGAGCGTATTGTATGCAATGTTTCTCTAAGTTATTAATAGAACTAAATAAAATGTCAACGTGATGACTGAAGTTTCCAAAAAATATTCGTTACAGTCCTACAAGCCACACCACACTAATGGAAAGTCCATGGATGTATACTTTCTTCTGAATCTACTTATTTACCTCTTCCAGGTTTGTCACGCGCTTCATCGAGCTCGACGGCCTCACCTGCCTGCTCAACTTCCTGCGCAGCATGGACTACGAGACGTCGGAGAGCCGCGTCCACACCTCGGTCATCGGCTGCATCAAGGCCCTGATGAACAACTCCCAGGGCCGCGCGCACGTCCTGGCACACCCACAGAGCATCAACACCATCTCCCAGAGCCTGCGGACAGAGAACATCAAGACCAAGGTGGCCGTGCTGGAGATTCTCGGGGCGGTGTGCCTGGTGCCTGACGGACACAAGAAAGTGCTACAGGCCATGGCGCACTACCAGAAATATTCTGCAGAGAGGACTCGCTTTCAGGTGAGGGTGCTAAATGTTGGTCAAAAATACCTTCTGCGTAAGGCATTCGCTGTAGACATGGGGGAGACAGACATAATGGGGAGTTGCAGACAAATATTTCAAAGTAATGCTCAAATAAATCACCCTGTGGTCATTTTGATTAGCTGGAGACTCGTGCTGCCGCAGCTCAGACTGTTAGCCTCAGGTTAAATCAACACTGTGGGCATATTAAAGGCAAGTGAGGACATCCAGAATTATGGAGGTCATGGATTGTGTGGTGTTTTAAGTGACTAGCAGGACTGAGTCAACAAGCCACATCTCACACGTCCCCCCGGGGTGTGTGCCAAATCATGCTGCCTCAGGCTAAGCTAACACCACAGGGGCTGAGTGATTTCGAACTTTTGAGACCTTTTGAGTTATGATTAACATGCTAAAGTATGTTGGTGTGAGTTTCAGAGGGAAAAAATGGTGTTAAGTAGTGTGTTATCAGGTTTCTCTTTAATGTTGTGTTTTGATAAATCAAGATTGTAGCGACATGTTCCTTTAATATCTGACTCAGCTGCTATCTGATGATTTAAGTGTTGAAAATGTATTTTTGAATCAAACTAACTTGCTGGCTAACTGTTCGATTTTTCCTGCACATGTAGACGCTGCTGAATGAGCTGGACAAGAGTACAGGCCGCTACAGAGACGAGGTCAACTTAAAGACTGCCATCATGTCCTTCATCAACGCTGTGCTCAACGCTGGAGCTGGGGAGGTCAGCACATCCATAGGCATTTTAGATACACCCTATTACTGTAAATAAAGGGGAAAACAACTTCAGTGGAATTTAGTTTCAGTATTTAGAGAAGAACTCAACACATTTGTGAGGGGCAAAAGTAGTGGGATATGTTTTTATTTTACTTTAATTCCTGCTTAGGTTTGACAAGCCTATACCCAAAGTGTTAGCCTCTGTTAGCTTGCAATTAAAAAATGCCTGTGAACTTTAAGGTTCAACATTTTTTTAAATAAACTGATGGACCTTCTGGCAGAGAGTTACAGTAGCTAAGAAGATTAATACCACTTGTGTTTTTTTCCTGGTAAATATGAAGCTACAGCGAGAAGCCGCTTAGTTTAAGTTAGCTTAGCCTAGCATAAAATCTGGAAACGCAGGAGATACAGCTAACCTAGCTCTGTGGTTAAGAAATCCACTTTCCCCCTTTTTCATGTCTTTTATTAATATTAATCTCAATGTCCCTCTGGTTATTCAGTAGTAAATGTTGTTTGAAATGTAAATGTGATTACTAGGCACATGCTAGATAAATAACCAATCTCCATTTGAGAATTCAAATGTTTTCAATGTTTCTGATGTTATTGTGTTGATTGTTCTTTTATTTATAGGACAACCTTGAGTTCCGCCTCCACCTAAGGTACGAGTTCCTGATGTTGGGCATCCAGCCGGTCATCGACAAGCTCAGAGGGCATGAGAATTCCACTCTGGATAGGTGAGGAAGAAGCCTAATGAGCAATTAACTAATAAATGATATTACTCTTCAGCAAAATAAATGCTTCACCCTTTTGTTTTGTAGAAATTAGTTAGTTATTATTTGCGGTGAAGAGGCAGTAACTTCTCTAATCTCGGACAATTATTTCTCCCTTCGCAGGCATTTGGACTTCTTTGAGATGGTGAGGAATGAAGATGACTCGGAGTTAGCCAAAAGATTTGATACTGTGAGTAACCTACTCTTGTGTGTTTTTTAACACAAAACTATGTTTTTCTTCTTTTTCAGTCATTTGTGTTTATTAATGTGGCTTCAATTGGCTATAAGGTTCGGCTGCCATATGGCTTAACTAATCCAAAGGCAAACTAATTAATGGTCAGACAGTATTTTTTAATTCAAAACATGTTCTTTATTTGATAGTCCCACGTCGATACTAAGAGTGCCAGTGCAATGTTTGAGCTGATCAAGAAGAAGCTGAGTCACTCAGACGCCTACCCCAACCTCCTCTCCATCCTCCAGCACTGCCTCCAGATGCCCTGTGAGTACATGCATGACAGGAAGCTTTTCTAACATAACAATAATTAACAGATAAAGTGTACTAAACGTCATAGACCAACTTTACATATTGAACTGACCAATATATGGATGAACTTACTATGTCTTTGTGCGACTTCACATCCAGATAAACGTGGTGGTGGCAGCCTGCAGCACTGGCAGCTCTTAGACAGGATCCTCCAGCAGATAGTCTTGCAGGACGAGAAGGGACAGGACCCAGACAGCGCCCCTCTGGAAAACTTCAGTGTTAAGAACATCATTCGCATGTAAGTAGAATCTCATCATCCTCAAATAACCTCAGCCAATTGACAGTTGTCGTACAGTAGATGTGTTTGAGAGAGAGTAGGAATGGAGAAAGGGAAATAAAAGATACATTCTGATAACGTTTAAATTTTTAAACTAGATTTCATTATTTTCTTTTTCGTCACAATTAGTGTTTAATGACATTGCTGTTGTCTCGTAATCGTCTTGTTTTTGTCATTAAAAGAAATGATATTATTTGCTATAATATCCTTCAAACTGTATAATAAGATAGGATACTATTGTACAAAGGGATCCAGGCCAACCATAGTAGGAACTGTAATTCATAATATCATAAGAGAGAGTTACTGTAAGTGCACTCTACTTCCAATGAGTGTTTCAGGCCTTTAAAAGCTGCTTCCTATTCTCCGAAGCTGTAAACCCTCATTTCTGGAAAGTCCTCGTGGTTAATGCATCACTTCCAACCAAGATCAAAGACAAGTCTGATATCAACTTCAGCTATGTCAGATTGTTTGAGGCACAGCTGGAGGGCAGATAACCACTGCGTCAGAGCTTTAGTGGAGGAAGCATTCGCAGTAAAACAATATTCAATCATAATGTAATACAACCTGTTACACCACTCTTGCACTGGCTATATTTAAACATGTTATGATGGCAGTGGAGAATGTGGTTTCACAGGAAGGTGAGGTGAAGCTGGCAGCAGGGGGTCCTGGGTAGAATCAGAGGAAGCCACGCTCCAAGCATGAATTGGCATGAAAGCGGAAGCTGGAGATCAAAAGGAAAATTGCTCTAATCGCATTAAGCGGACATGCCGGTCAAGTCAGCCATGTTTAGGTGCGTCCAAGCGGTCACTTTCATGTAATGACAAAAAGGAGAAATTAATCTTTTATAAAGGGAAAACCAAGCGCAAGTAGAGGTGTTCTGTATTTCATAACACTGTCGAACAGAGGGATTTACTAAAATGTTCAGGGTTTTGTGGTCTTGTTTTTACGGAATTTAAAAACCAGGCTTTACTTGTGTTCAGCAGCCAAAGACAACGGTGTGCTGTTGGTAGTGTAAGAAGATGAATCCGTACAATACATTTAGTGTGTTTTTCCCATAATTCTTCTATCAGACGTACTTTTTTTTCACCATCTTTCTTCCACTCTCCACTTTTTTTGTTATTTCTAAAGCAAGCTTCAAACCAGTGATGAATAAGTTTAGTCTCCGCGGTGAAAGCTCAATAAAACATGTGGCGTGGTAAATCTTGGCCCCCGCTCGCTCCTACTTTGTTCACTAATTCAGCCACTAGTGTTTGTGCAATCAGTTCACTTGAGCGTAATTCTTTCCAGTAGCGTACAGAAAGCAGGATTTGGACGCGGCATCGAAAAAAGCCTGGACGTCCATTACTGTCCTTTGCAGATCAATCACGTCGGACAAAGCCTATCCCTTTCTTTCACATCACTGCCTAAGTATTTTTGCGTTTCCATGAACTCTCCGAGAGTCAATTCTGGAAGGATTTGCATAAACTGAGATCTCCTCATTGCTTTGGCTGCGTGCCGGAGGTTGAAAACGTACTGTACGTCTTGTGGTGCGGAGGAGGGGGATGTTAAAACAACTGTTAAAACAACTTGGAGACAAAATCATCCATCATCTGCGGTCACCATGACGGCGGCTCTGACTACTCACACGTCTGCCTCACCCACAATTAACACTCCTATACCAATCACATTCTTTCCACAGCAATGTAAAGGTATTTATTTGACCAGTGAATAAGAAAGTGCTCGGTTTGAACGAGCTGGATCAATAGAGCGTTGCTTTAGATGTCATTAAAGCAGCCGTCACTTTATAATCCGACCGTCCTGTTCACCAACGCAATTATTTGCAGGACCTAAATTTGATTTATAACCAGTTTGCTTTGAAATGCTCTTGTGGATTTGCTTGTGTGAATTGATTGCAAGTAATTAAGGGTGAATCGTTACTGCAAGTTTGCTTTATCCTCGTTGGCGGTCGTACGTTAGCACTTGTTCAGCGATACCCTCTCTTATGCTCTTTGTTACTTGTATACTCTCTATCCCACTGAAACATGTCTATTCTCTCAACTCTAGACATGGCTTTCACCGATGCTCAAGGTTTCACTTTTCAAATCTTTCTAGCTAAATTAACTCTTCAAAACACTTCATATGATCATCTTTTCTTTCTTTTTTTCATTCAGTTTTAACGTTTCTATTAATTTTTTTACTCATACCCTGACCCTGCCCACACATTAGCTGATCGCATTTACCAAAGTAACCCAGCCAAGCTTACCAAGTGCCAAATTGTATAACTGAATATAATTGATTTCATTCCTGCAGGATTTATTTCAGCACTAATGTTGTGTTACTGTACGCTGCTTAAAAGAGCAAACCGCATGAACCAAGTCAATGCCGGTAATGAATCTGGATGATAAGATTTATTTTCAGTTGATTTCCAACCCAAATATTGAATTTGCCTCGACTTGGTTGTACTGCTGTTGACCCCTACATGTGAGAGTTTTGTGCAAGTGTATGTCTGTTTTTGTTTCTGTGCTCATTTGTGTCTGCCTGCTTCACAGGTTGGTCAATGAGAATGAGGTGAAACAGTGGCGAGAACAGGCAGAGAAGTTCAGGAAAGGTAAGACTTGTTTGACACACTGCACTCTGCAGGTTGAAAGGGAAAATGCATCTTGTAATATACCATGCTTTGTTTTGCCATTCTGTCATTTTAGATCATTTAGAGCTTCTAGGTAAACTAGAGAAGAAGGAGCGAGAGTGTGAAACCAAGACCCAGGAAAAGGATGACATGATGAAGACATTGAACAAAATGAAGGACAAACTCCAGCGTGAGGGAGTGGAGCTTCGCTCAGCCAGGGAACAAGTCCATGACCTGTCCTCACACATCAATAACATATCTGTGAGCAGTGCTGCTTCTTATACAACCTTACAACAAAACATAAATCACCTTGTATGAATCGGTGATATGTTGCTCTTTAATTGTGTTTATCTTATTTTGGACAGATTTCTCTGACAGCCCAGTAAAAAAATACAAAAACACAACAAATTGATAGAAATCCTATCTGCGTGATTGACTGCAGTTCCTAATAAGATGTGTTCAATGTGCATTTAGCTTAGCAAAAACACGCAGGAAATGGTCAACGTTGCCTTCCAGCCGCTCCACAGCTTTCACATTTACTCTTTGAACATGTACTGTATGTGTTATTGACAAAGGTTCTAAGAAAAATAAAGATAGCTAATTGAGACTAGCTTATTTTATCTTATGCAAAGTAGATAATTACATTTAAAAGGCTGGGCCCAGTAACTGACTTTTCAAAAGAGTCATTTTGTTTTGGATGTATTGTTTGCTACTTTGCTAGCTAACAAGATATAATGTTAGTTGGACTGTTTTTGGGGCATTAGAAAGCTGTTTTTTCCTCTTTTTTCATGAAAGCTAGCTATTTAACCCTGCTTCCAATACATATGCTAAGCTAGTTTGTGTTTATATTGCATCTTTGCTGCAATGAAATGTTATTCAAAACATTGTATAACTTGTATTTCTCTCTCCCAACCTATAGGGGATGGGTGTGTCTTTCCCGCCTCCTCCTCCTCCCCCTGGCGGCCCCATGGCTCCACCTCCACCACCTATGATGGGTGGCTGTCCACCACCTCCTCCTCCACTGCCGTTTAGCTGCCCGCCTCCTCCGCCGCCTCCTCCCCCACCTGGAGCACCGCCTCCTCCACCAGGAGCCCCTCCCATATTCGGAGCTCCGCCTCCTCCTATTCTCTCTTCATTCAACTCGAACATGCGCTCCAAGTCCATCCCTACGCCTTCTCATCCTCTGAAGTCCTTCAACTGGGCCAAACTAGGGGAGGTGAGAAGATCTGCTCTGCCAAACTCTAATTCAATTTAAAGAACAAAAGAAAATCACATTTGCAACCAAACCTATTAATGAAAGCAACCATTGTCCAAAATCTGAGATCGTTACATCAGAAAAAGCCATGTTTTTCTGTAGCATTAAGATTTTCTTACAGCAAAAAATAATATAATTATGTAGACGTTTTTTTAAACCAACCCCTTGTGCCCTTTAACCCTTTTCAGAATGTGATCAACGGCACCATCTGGAATGACATCGATGACCTGAGAGCTTTCAAGATTCTTGACCTCAAGGACATCGAGAAGATGTTTTCCGCCTATCAGAGACAACAGGTTTGGATTTTCTACTAAGTAGGATACAGTGTGTGTTTTGGCGAGGATGAAAATATAGAGCCAGAAATCCATTTTATGCCTCTTGTTTTAATAACTGCTGCATTTGGACTTGGAAGTGATTCTCTAGTGTGTGCGTATAAGTGTGTGTGGTGGGTTGAAGGGTGGGATGTTGTAAGAGGTCTCTTGAGAGTGCTAAGAGTCCAGCTCCAGGCTAACATGAACAGCTGTTCACTACTGAATGCTTTATTGTAGAAACGCCTCTGAGCTCGAGCTTTGCCCTGATATCTGCGGTGTATTAGTGTGCGAAATGGGGAATTGTCTGGGTCATCACGGGCTCATGGAACAGGGCAACACTGAGGAAACACCAGGGGAGTCACGAAAAGTCAAGACACAGGAAGCGTTTTACTAAAGCACACGGCTTAAAATAAAGAGGCAATTGACTAAAGCATGTTCAACCAGGGACTTACTAACAGGATAATTGCTGTATGCGTGCCTTCGGGGCGATACCATACAGTACATAGCAATTACTTCCCTCAATGCTACAAAGTTATTACACGCCACTTGTCATGGGATAATGTTATATGCATGAATTGATATGTTTTACTGCGTCAAAGTGGAACGTTAATATGCTGTAATGATTTTCAAATATTCACATCAGTGGAAGAGTAATGCTTGGCAAAGTCTCTGAAGAGGCATTACTATTGTTGAATTCCTTTACAAGGTATTTTACTGCCATGCTTAAAAGCCTTCTGACAGCTTAAAGCACAACTTCTCTTTTCAGGCTTTTATTAAAGAGTAATAATTCATTTGGGGCTGTTGCTGACGCTTATTTACTGTGTGTATTTATTTATACAGAGCAGGTTTTATTGGCACGGGCCAGCGGTTAAATGGCCATCTCTACGGATATAGCCACATAAAAACCCAAGGTCTGCCTGGGTTTGACAACCTTGCTCGATTTAGCGAGAGTGCGATTCCGTATTGCAAAGTTTATTCACGGCATAATTGCTTTTCTTAACTTGTCATTGTTTTTTCTTTCAAAATTGACTTTTGTTTACATTCCCTCTTCTGTAGGTTCAGTTACCACACTCGTTTTTCATGTTCCTTGTCAAGACAAATGTAGATGCAATCAAAAGAATACATTTTAACAACAGTCGTGACCTCTTTTGAAAATACTGAAACCAAAATAGAACAGAGTTCAAAAGCTTTTCTGTTCACCTATGCAGAGAAAATTGCAATATTTTTTTCATGAGCCTGTGATGAGTTGGACATTAGATTATTATTGCTTCCCAGCTTGAGCTTGTAGTATGCACAGTTGTAGTTCCTTGCTCTATGGTCACCTCTTTTTTTCTGCTTGAAATGCTAATCTTAGCATGTGTTTTCAATTTGTTTGTCTCTCTGCACTCTACGAATGCCTGGGCAGGAGCTGCTCACTAACCAATCCTTCAAACAGGTGAGTTAAAGCTTTTTCAGGATCTTTATTTCATGGTTATCTACCTCCAATGCTCTATCTTCTTCTCCTCTGCCATGTTTCTTTGTTACAATATAGGTAAAGTTGCAATATAAATACTGTGAAACTAAAAAATGTTCAATCCATGAAAAACGTTCCTGTATCCAGAAACTTTAAATGAGCCAGAGAAATAGGTAGAAAGTGCCGTTGCAGTTATTTCCTGGCTGCAATGACAGTGAAGGGACGCCAATAGCAGTGATGCAGTAGAACCATAAAAAATTACCAAACAAAGCAGATTGGGCTTTTTAAAGAGACGGGCGCTAAAACTGAGCGTTTCTGACAGAAATGTAATACAGGTTTATCTAGATAGACCATATGATACAAGTAATGTGTTTTTTGAACATTAAAGCATGTAAACCATGATGTGAACATATTCTACTGTAGTAGAAACCCAAAATCTCTATGCAGCTGAAAGTGTGCATATACTGTCTTCTTTAATTCTCATAATTCATCATCATTAACTTAGCAGGAAACGTCTGAATTGAAATGCAGCCACTTGCATGTCCAACCTTCATGTGTCCTGGCACAAGAAGAAAAGAAAACAGTTTGCAATTCTATCAATTGATAACTCCAGTTAAATAGGGTTGAGTGCACAGTCTAGAAACAAGTTGGCAAAGCTGCCTTTAGTGCGTAGGCAGAGAGGGTTTTGGCGGGCTCTGTGAATGGGAGTTGTCCGCCTAACCCAGTGCCAACCTCAGGCTGTTGCCAGGCACTGCGGGTCAACGCAGGCATGGAAAACGGCACTTGCTTTATAAGCTGCATCTGTTTTAAATACGTCATAGCCGGTAACCTCAAAAATAATGTTTTCTGGCAACAGTATGCTGGCTTAGACCAGAAATAGGTTGTGTTTTACATGCAGCCCTGACCGTTATTCTCAGACATGTATTCCCTCTCCTTGTGGAATGTTAATACTACATTTGTGTGACTAGCCTGAACCGAGTCTTGCACAGTGTTTCCTGTTCCTCCTGAGAGTTTTATAGGTCTGCCTGCATTGTGTTTGCTGTGGTGACTCGCCAAATAAAATCTTGCCCTGCAGGAATTGATTTATATATTTCTTTCTTGCAAACGGCATACATTTGTGAATTTTTCCACATTTTTTAAAAACATGTTTTCATACAGCATCCACAATTCAGTTCAGGGTTTATAATAAGACATGCATTATGCATTCAGGGTCAGTGGATGAGACCTCTTAAAGTATTTGGATAGAGTGCAACATGTTAGTATGGTACAGTACGTGCTTGATGGTGTCAGTGATCAAACTGCAATACTTTTTCATTCTTTTTTTTAAATGTCTGCTCCAAATTAACGCATTGTCAAATGCTCAAAAGTTCATGTCAATTCTCAACAAGTTACGGATGTCAAACAGATGTGAGCAGAAGCACTGAGCAGGCTTTGCATTTCAATTGTAGCTCTCTTATAGATGGAACCATGTTGCAAATGTAATCTGGATCTCTGTCTTTCTCATTCTGCAGAAAGAGACGGGCTCCATGGATGACATATACGTCAGCACGCGGAAGGTCAAGGAGCTATCAGTCATCGATGGCCGACGGGCACAGAATTGTGTCATTCTTCTTTCAAAGTAAGTGTTCCAGCAAGAATCATCAATCATGTTTTGTTGTACTATCGGTAATCTTCTAGTTTTTATCTTAGATTTAATTGTGAAGAGATGCCCTGAGCACTGAAATAGGAAACACTTTGGGTCAGGGGTTAGAGATGTAACTCAGTGTAAGCGGCTTGAGGCAGGTGCTTCTTGTGTCTGGTACAGGAAATGTGTTTTTAATGGACACACGAGGACATCTGTCCATGTAATTGAATAACCAATGGTAAGAGCAAGCTTAGTCATATGACAGACAGAAAGCATTATCCAGGATGTGTCCCTGGAGTGTTTAGATTATGAGGTCTTTGTCTACTTTTAGACATCGAAGTGCTATTAGTCTCCCCAATAAAGGGACAATTTACCCCCAACATACCATTTTGCTTCTTATTTTCTAAGTGGTATTTGTGCATTTTATTTAAGGATATTTCGGTCTGCCTTGTCCCCAATATGATGGAACTAGATGGAACTAGTCTTGTGTTCATTTGCGTTTTTAAAAATTCATTTGAAAAACTCAAAAGACTTGTGAACAGTTTCAGGAACTATTTTCTTACACTCGCCAACCGTATCAATGTGCAGTGTAAGTTGTGAAAGTTGAATGTACAACTGTACTTTTTAATGTGTATGAAAAACTCGAGGAAAACATGAATTGTGTCCTTCTCTGCTGAGCTGTTTAGTTAAACAGTTCAGAAAGCCTCTTGTTCGGTAGATGCTTCCTTTTGCACGATCATATGATTTGCGGGTGTAGCTGGGTAGAAAGAAAATAGTTCCTACATGAAACTGCTCACAGCTAATTTTGGGGATGGTCTTCAGTAACCAGGTCATTATATTTTTCAAAGACATTGCTGTTAAGTTTTTTAATTGGTTTTTTAAAATCTAATTCCATTGTTATGGCCGATAACTCCAACACACCAAAACAATCTGGATTAATGAATAACTAATAATATACATACAGTATATCTTTGAGTTTGGGTTGAACAGTCCCTTTTAAGCCATATGAAATAATGCAAATGACCCTGCTCCTCCCAAGAGGCTTTAAGGCTTACTTTATGTAAACTGTAATCAATTGACATCATTTAAAAACGACCCAACAGTGTGGTTACCATTTGTGTGTCTTCTTATGGCAATGATCCGAAGCCCTTTCACAAATTTGAACCAAACCCCCCCTCCCTTTACAGATCAATAAAGAGGGTTCCTGAGAGCCTTCTCCATCTGACATGCTGCAGCACTGTCCCTAAACCCACTCTCGTGTCAATAGAAAATGACCCTAGGGTACGAACTAGATCCAAATGGGGTCAGCATCTGGTCAATAAGGCTTTGACGCACAGACTAACAATGCTGTTATTGATCCTAACGTAACCCAGCACACTTAACATGCACTGAAAACAGCTGGCATTGCTCCCGGGAGTTGACAAGGGTCCAGATTGGAGTATTAGTTACAGTTTTCTCTACACTGTTTGTAATGTGCCAATTAATTACGTACATTTAATGTAATGTAATTACAACCCCTTCAAATTTGCTTCTCCCTTGCAGGTTAAAAATGAGCAATGAAGAGATCAAGAGGGCGATCCTGGAGATGGACGAGAGGGAAGAGCTGTCCAAAGATATGCTGGAGCAGGTAAGGGTGGGGGATGATGTAAATATAAAAAAAGGGGCTAACCAAGTCTCTTATGGGTAGACATTTATTTTTTAAAGTAGTTTGATGTTCTCTGCTTGATCAGAACTCATTGAAGACAAAGTTATAGATTTCATATATTTCAAAAAAAAGAAACATCTTGATCTTTTTTTACTGATAAAGTTTTGGAATGATTTACACATATTACAGCATAATGTATGTAGCTAATCAACGGGAAAAAACGAGCTAATAGGGGCCGCCGTATTGTTGAATTTGTTGAGCTGGTGGCCAATGCACTGGGCTCTCGGTCCCTAAGCAGAGGACCGGGGGTTGGAATCCTGAAATCCTTTTAGATTTAGATTTTTAGATACTATGCATGAAGTATGCTCCACAGCCTTAACATCTGGAAAAACTCTGACTTTGCATCCTTGCAGCTACTGAAGTTTGTCCCGGAGAAGAGTGACATCGATCTCTTGGAGGAGCACAAACACGAGCTGGAGCGCATGGCAAGGGCTGATCGCTTCCTCTTTGAAATGAGCAGGTAAACAGGTCTACATTATTATCAAATAATACTATTCATTTGTAAAATTAAGATACAGTGATGAACATCTGTGTCACAAAGGTCAGTGTGTCTGTTATAAAACAGATGCAATAGGTCTGTCTATTGTCAGCATTTGAAATGGAGCATTTCCAAAGTGAACAACATGCAGATTTTGTGCAGGATCAAGACATAAGCCAGTTACCACAAATAGATCCTAAAATCCTGCCGAGTATGATGTCTTTTCAAAAGCAACGTCGGCTGGGATAAAAAACAAGCCTCTAACTTTGAACAATTCATCATTTAGCTGTGAAAAGAACCCACGACTCCCATCACATCAGACAGTGGAGAAAGTTTAAATAAGCGCATTTCTTCCTTTCTCCGAATCTGGACAATTTTTTTGAGATAATTAAACCTTTTCATTTCCTTCCATGAAATATTACCCTGTCCACTTTCTTCCCCTTTGACCACATCTCCTTTGGTCCCTGGAATACATCTGGGATTTAGTTATTTCTTTTTTTCTTGCCATTTAATATCCCTCATCCGTCCTTGAAATTCCCATTCTCTGCCTCTCTGAACTTTTGGGCAGGTTTAACAAAGTCATTTGTCAACTCCCCAATTTGATGGGAGCTTGTTTGACGATAAAAGGCCTGTGAAAACCGAGAGGGGGAGTTTTGTACGATTGGGTGACTTCAAGCTTTGAACTTACACTCCCCTTTTTTCCCTTCATCAGAATTGACCACTACCAGCAGAGACTGCAGGCTCTGTTCTTTAAGAAGAAGTTTGCAGAGCGTCTAGGCGAAACCAAGCCTAAGGTTGAAGGTAAGGACAAACACCTCCTAGGACACTAAAAGGCTTAACTCTTAAGTGATTATATAGAGGATAATGGCGGCAATATTCTATATTGTTAACATTTGAACAAATGAATCGATCATAATATCTATTTTCTGCCAAACCATACATCTTATACTGCATATCCCTGTCACAGAGCTGTGTTATACACAAACTAATAAATGCTACGCCACTGAAAACACCCACTTAAAGAGGCACTTTTTTGCATTTTGGGGTTTTCCCTTTCCTGTAGTGTGTTATATAAATGTGTGTGCAAAGGCTATCCAATACATTGTACATGATCGGCTAAGGGGCAGTTAATCTCTTAAGCGGTTGACCAATCAAAACAGAGCCAGCCAGTTAACCAATCGGAGCAGACTTGGCTCTGGTTTCAGACAGAGGGTGAAAAGAGGGGCTGCAGCACAGGCAGTATGAGAAAAATAAGCTCTACCGTTAGATACGTACTTGCCCAAAGGATTGTCCTTACCAGAGTTCAAGACTTCAGACCAATCAGAACATAGTATTTGGGCGCAATGGGTTAGTACATTTTGGTCTCAAGTCACTGTCCAAGAACAAAGCTACTAAACAAGAAACCACCCTTAACAGAAATGGAGCAAGCTATAATAATTGTATAGAACATGCTTTGAGGGCGTGCCACACACACTAGATTTTACACGTCTAGAAGCAAAAACATACACTGAAAATGTCAGCATCTTTGATCACTTTGAACTAATGCTATTCATCACGACATGAGAAAATCTTTCTCTGTTCTAAGTGTGTTCATGTGTATGCATGGTGAGAGGGGTTGGCCAATTGTGCATTGGCCCAGGGTAGTTTTTCCCTTCCAGCCAGCTTCCAGGTTACCAAGGAGACTGTTTTGGAAAGCTGGCCCATGTTGCCATGGGAAAGCCTTTCATAAACAGTTCACTTCAAAGACCCAGGAAAAAGCCATCCAATGAGGTCTATAGACTTCTGTGCTCATGGGTGTGTCACTACTGAGCTGTCCTAAGGACTGTTTAAGCAAGAGATCATTGAAAAAAACTATTCTGCTGGCCATGATGCCCTTTTCCTACTCTCACCCATCACATTATATTTCCCTGCAGTGTCTTATTTGCAGCGCTAAACATAGACTTTATTAAAGAAGGGAATTTACTCACCACGACATCGCCCGTTGGTTGTTAGACTGGTTTTAATGATTTTGATTTTGGCATTTTGAGAGGTTGTCATCATGTTTTGTTGTTTTGGAACCAGAAGTGACCAGTAGAACGGACTCTGGTGAATTTTACGATTAACCTTCATGAACTGAAAACCAATTGTAAAGGAGTTCAAGTTTTAAGACGAAAAACCCGGAAAACATTCAAACCACACAACAGTGTTCTAGTGATCGGTCAATCACAAGATGGCAACGCCCCGAAGCATACCCCCATTCATCGTCTATTTTACTCTTAATGGTACCACCATTTACAAAATTGACATCACGCCGTATTGAAGAAGACTATGGATTAAACCTATTAGGAAAATGTTGAGAATTGTTTTCCTATACAATCTGACTTCTTTATGAAACTAGTAGGGTCGCCCCCTGTTGGACACCAGAGAGAAAGCAAGGCTCACACCCGAAGGTTGCCACTTGACTGTGGCTTGTTTGTCAGATAGCCCATCCATTTTATTTATTTTTGACATCTATTGCTGGAAAAAGAAAGTCTAGAGGAAACAACCTGTGAGTTTTGAGTATTGAGTCAAGTCTTAACAATCATTGTTATTGGATCCAAATGTTCCCAGACCACAATGTCCATCGATGCCCGTAATATAGCCTCTATCGCCTTTTATTATTGGTGTTACTTTGTCATATAGTCTAGATGAGACTATATTTTCCTGGACCACCCAGCATGTTCAATTGAAGCATTTCATAAGACCGCCAGCAGAACCCCGTCAGCAGAGCCAGAAGAACGATTCCCATGCTGTATCACTGCAGAGCGAACTGTAACAATAACAATGTGGGCTCTGTTAATGATTTTCACATTCACACTGAGGTTTCCTCTGCGGAGAGAGGGAACCACCTGCACTCTGCCAGACAAGTCTGTTCTCAGGGGGGACAGGAACAACCCCTTCCCCCCTGCTGTTTTATGGATGGATGGAGAGACTTGATGGGTTTCCCTACTCGGCTGCCCAGTTGTTGTGGGGAATATTGATCAATCATCATGAAGGATTACAAAAATTAGGGAAAGATGAGATGTGTTTGCATGGGGGCTGAGTAGAGAAACAGAATGGAATATGGCTAGTCTTATAATATAAGCGATGCACTAAGCAAAGTGCACACGTATCAATCACCGACTCTATGATCTCTCCAGCTGCTTCTCTCTTTATCCATCTTCCTCCAGCGATCCTGAATGCATCCAAGGAGGTGGTGCGGAGTAAGAGGCTGACTCAGATCCTGGAGGTTGTGCTGGCCTTCGGCAACTTCATGAACAAGGGCCAGAGAGGAAACGCCTACGGCTTCAAGGTCTCCAGCCTCAACAAGATCGCTGACACCAAGTCCAGCATAGACAGGTGATCGGGGGGGGAGACTGTTGTGACTCCATTTTTCCAAAGAGAGATAAATGTCCTCTCAATTCCAGAGTTCCTTTATAAATGTGAAAAACAGGGACTGCTAGCAACTTATATAGCATGATACTTCTACTTTTGGTATACTTTTAAAACTTCTTATGTGCAAAATATGCATTATCAAATGGTAACATTTTGTTGATAAAAAAAAAAAAAAAAACTGCATGAAAAAAAAGTGTTTGCCTGTAGTACCTCTACTTCTCTAAACCACAGTTACTCAGCTGCAATTTCATACATTTCCTGTTTGTGTCACCCAAAGCATGAGGGGAACCAAAAATGCCAAAATTCCTGAAAATATAAGTACATTTTTGACAATACTTTTAAAAAGGTCCCATCCAGCATACATTATGCAGAGGGTTCGACTCCTGAGCCCACCAAACATGTCATGTCCTCCCCTCTATCTCCCCCTTTCAACTCTAATAAAGGCACTCTCTGGCCCGAAAAAAAATAACTCCCATCAATATGGTCAATATAGTAAGAAAATATCAATTTGCATTTTTCTTTTTAAAAGCGTTATATAGCATTTCAACTATTTGCATCCCAGATAGTGGTATTACATTTCATTTCATGTAGCTGACGCTTTTATCCAAAGCGACTTGAAATAAGTGCAATAAACAATAAAGATTCAAACTCAGAGCAACAAGAAAGGTGCTGACATATTCTCTCCAAACAAGACAGACCATTGTAAGTGCTGGTGCACAAATCAAACTCTTAAGCTGCTAAAAAAAAAAATATGTTCATGGCCAAGGTACAAGTACAACAGGTGGGTTTATCTAAGTTTATCCAAGCGACTTCACTGGACATTTCAATATATCGCAATCCTAGTGAATGTCACTTAAATTAATAACAAAGTGTTAAAACAGCCAAGGATTCAAAGGGTTAAATATGAGTATTAAAGGTGATACTTTAACTCGACAAGAAGAAGTGTTTCCTCGATGACTTTGGTTAAAAACCTGTTGCCTTCACTTCTGTCTCTACAGGAACATCACCATGCTGCACTACCTGATCATGATCATGGAGAAGAACTACAATGACACGCTGCACATCCAGAACGACCTCTGCAGTGTACCCGAGGCTGCCAAAGTCAAGTGAGTGCACAAGTATTTACAGTGGGGGAGGGAGATAGTCCTACGTGCATGTGTTATATAATATATAAATCTTTTCTAATTTTACTTGTGGAAAAAATCACTGAAAATGTAAATAAGGTCCCAAGTTGCACGCCAAAACTAGTCAGGGAGTGCAGTACAAGACATTTTCCTTCATGTTTTTTTCTCCTTGACTAGTTTGTCGGAGTTGGAAAAAGAGGTTCACAATATCAGAAGTGGACTGAAGGCTCTAGAGGCGGTGAGTTGTTGTGCGTTTGTGTCACGTTCCCTCCCGTTGGTTCTACTCCTGTCTGTAATTATGTGTTGGAGCAGGGCAGAGATGGACAGCAGGGTGAAGTGTTTAAGTGCTGGTCATTTCCCATACCGACAAGAAACGGAACATTTGTAGCAACACACAGAAACACGGATGTACAACACATGCACCTGCACAGGAGGGCACATAAAAGAGTCACAGTCACAGAGATGGAAAAACAGTGATTTTTCATGTGAAACTCCATTATTCAATGTTAGAACTGGTTGTAATCGCCGGGTCAGCTTGTTTTGAAGAGGAGGACACCTGCGGAGAATCCAGCTCCTTGTAAAAGAGTCCTAAGCAATGAACAATGAAGGAATCCTAACGGGCAACTTCCTGTAAACTCCCACGTGACTTCACGATGGCTTCAAACTGTCATTGTTCTTGTTTTGAGACCCCTATGAAAACGACGTTTTCTTCTGTCCCTGTCTTCCTTTTCCCGACTTAAAGCACACAATTACCTCTTGATTTTACCATCGTTGGCTTTTTAAATCACGTATCTCTTGTCTCGTTCTCCCCTGCAGGAGCTGCTCTACCAGCAGAGCAGGACGAGGGAACGCGGGGACAAGTTTGTGGCTGTGATCGGAGACTTCATCACCGTCGCTGGCTTCAGCTTTTCTGAACTGGAGGACCAGCTGAGCGAAGCCAAGGACAAGGTAACTGCATAACCTTTATGTAGTGGACAGACAGAGGAGGAGTGATCAAAGATACTAAAGAGAGAAACCCACCTCTTCGCATCCCTCTGTGTCCAGTGTAGACCGACGTGAGCAGCGCCAGGGGAAACAAGCAGTTAAAAAAGATTACTCTTCATCTTGTTTCTAATTCTGCACTCCTTCTTAGTGCAACAAATGGCCTTTTGAACCCTATTGGCTCATGCATTGATGTTTGTATTCAATGGTGTAAGCTGCAGCTATCAGTGGGACTTTGGGAATCCCCAAATACAGTGTTTAAAACATATATTTAAACATTTTATTTAATAAGAAAGGCCTTAGGTACTGTTAGCATCCAGGTGTCGAATCATTGGAAGATTATAACCTCTTACCTTGTTTGCTATTGGTTCATGAGAGTTAATTATTTGTTCAAGGAGGAGGTCGGTTAAAATATTAGAGGGAAAGTGGGGAAGTTTGAACGTCATGGGGAAGAAACGGGAGGAGCAGGACACCGGTGACTACTGTAAAACAAAAGGACCTGTGTTCACGGGACCAGACTCTTAAGCACACTTTTTGGTGTGTGTGTGTGTGTGTGTGTGTGTGTGTGTGTGTGTGTGTGTGTGTGTGTGTGTGTGTGTGTGTGTGTGTGTGTGTGTGGACCCATTACCTTGTCAAGGCTCTCTGATGCTCCGTTAAATATGGAAGTGCGTTGCGGCTCAAGAAAGTAGAGGAGATTGAATAAACAGTAAAGCTCCATGGCTACAAATGTGTCTCGCCAGACATTACTCCATACATTACAAGGGATTACAGCTGTCCAAGGTCATGTGGGTTATTGGGACAGGGGTTTTTCTCTTATCCTGAGAGATTGCTCGGGTTTATCCTTAAAACACCCACACAGAGGCATGTTCACAGACAATGAAAGATCCAGCCTAAGAAAAACAGTTTAGGTTTACAATTGTAATTGCTGACTGATTTGAACGTGTGCTGGATTATTAATAACATAGCAGTGATGTCACCTGAAGAAGGGGCTAGATGTAAAGGCAGAAGATCACTAAGCTTATCACATGGATGTGTGGAGTACGAGACATCGGCACCACATTTTCTAGCAATACATACAAAGAGTTTTAAGCTTAATTTTAAACTAGAGATGTCACACTGAAAACGGTTGAGAAATGATTTGATTCGTGGAAGTCTATGGGAGTTGTACAGGCCAAACATGCAAAACTGCTGTGACATTTTAAAGTCTGTATTTTGATTTGACCTCCAATAGCATCAGGTTTTCAACCCTGTGACAAACAAATGGGGTTTGTTTCGGCGTGCTAATGGCAATGAATGGATCAAAGAAAGCTATTATACACAGTTGAAGATCTTTTACCCAGGTGCATCTAGTAAAAACTCTGCAGAATTCCCTGCACATAGGAAATCATTTGTTCATATTTTTATTTCTAGCTCAGCACCAATCTCCACATTAAATAAATCCCACTTGCAGCAGCAGCTGCTCATCCATAATACTTTAACTGTTACTCCATCGCCAGATACATTTTTCTTCGTTAACCTAATAAGTTGGCTCAGCATCGCTGGGAGACATCGCCGTCTTCCAGCTCCAGAAAAAAGGTCTTTGTGCTGGATAAAGACATTTGATTTTCTGTTCAGTTTGTATATAGTTGAGTTCATTAGGTTTATACGGTGGCCAACAGGTGCAAACACACTGCAACGGCCCAAAGCACCTATATTAGGAGAAACGCGCTGTAGTTTAAAAAACAACGCAAATATAAAAAACACAAATGTGCCAATGGACATGTCACTTAAGAAACATCTTCTTGAACTAATGCGCAGCATTTAGAAAAAGTTCACCATCTTGACGAAACATGCTCAGCGTTTACTAAATGCACTGCATAAACAAAACGCTGTCAATACAACATTCTGCTAAAGAAAACGCTGCACGAAGCACAAAACACAACCGAAATGTCAGTGTTGGCAGAGTTTCATAATCGTAAGTGTTTTGTCAGTATATTTGAAATCACTATGTTAGCTACATTAGCTAGCAAGCTTACAGCCGATAAACCATTTCTATAGCAATATGACATGCAGAGCTGACATAATACCACCATAGAATGAGTGAATTTAAGCAGAGGTTGACAACATTTTTTAAAGTGATAACAAATAAATAATGTGATAACCAGAAAAAGTATGAATCAGCCTTTTAAAAAAATATGTGGATTTTTAACAACTTTGAATCTAAATGCTCAACAAGGTGTTCAATGAACATCCACTGATACAAATACACATGTTATCACAAACAGCAGGGATGTATTAAATCCTCTATGAAGAAGCCAAACATAATTATCCTAACACAGTGGGACTTTGGGAATCCCCAAATACACTGTTTAAAACATCTATTTAAACATTTTATTTAATAAAAAAGGCCTTAGGTACTGTTAGCATCCAGGTGTCGACTCATTGGAAGATTATAACTCTTACCTTGTTTGCTATTGGTTCATGAGAGTTAATTATTTGTTCAAGGAGGAGGTTGGTTAAAATATTAGTGGGGAAGTTTGAACGTCATGGGGAAGAAACGGGAGGAGCAGGACACCGGTGACTACTGTAAAACAAAAGGGTGTGTGTGTGTGTGTGTGTGTGTGTGTGTGTGTGTGTGTGTGTGTGTGTGTGTGTGTGTGTATATATATATAATTACAGAGGGGAAAGGGATGATGGTGGGGGTTGCTATGGTGAACAGCCCATAATGACAGGATATTTGTTTGCATCCTCAGACAAGAACAAACCCCAACTCCTTTTTATCACAACACTAGAACCACACACAGTGTGCTGTAAACACGATTGATATTTTTACTTTACTGTAACATTCAGAAAGAATAGAACTGAGCAGGAGGGACTTCTGCTCGCTAACCAAAACAATATGTTGTCGCAATTAAAGCAAGACAACACATGCAAAAACATTTCATGCATTGGTTGATTTGAAAAGTCTGGGATATTTTGCATCCAAAATGTCTTCATCAGATTAGGGGGAGATCAGGAAATACATTATTTTCCGTTTGTAGATTTCTCCTGTGTTCACCAAAAGTTGGCAAAAGATACACATTTTCATTTCTGCTTAACATTTTAGAAAAGTTTTAATACAAAGAAATCTAAACTTCCAAGCTGCACCAATCAATAGTTTAGTATAGTTTAAAGTTGGAGGACATCGCCCGGATCTTGCTGTGTTTCCTGCTGTATACCACAGTACAAAGTGTGTGTGTGTAGGAATGTCAAGTAGGTTTGGCTGCAGGCATGCTCCTGACCAGGGGCGTCGGGTACTGTAGGCTAGGGAAGGCTAAGCCTTCAGGATTTGATATATTGTTTAAAAATAGGCTATGTTGACAACACACATTTATGATACCTAACACATTTTGTTCAGCAGGATAATCTCCACATATTAAAACCATGTTTTAAGCATAAATGCAATCGGCAGAATTGAAAAGCTAACAGGCTATAAATGAACTACAAAACCGTTGCATAGTTGCGCATCACAACCGCTAAGCTAAAGGCCGATCCGTGTTGGCGTGTTGACCTTGAGTATTCTCATTTAGTCACTTGTTAGCAACCGTCGTTTTTATATGACACATAAAGGCTTTGGATATTTACAAGTGGACTATTCACTGATGTATTTCATGTTGTTGAACGAAACAACAAATCTCGTAAGCTTTTGTTAACCACAGACCTTATTTCAGGCTTCTAAACACAAATTATTGACTCTGATACCAGAGAACCGGAAGTGGTAAAATGCTAAATATTTTCTGGGTTTCAGGACTCATTACTGCACCACTCTATTGGCCAAATGTTTAATCACTTCTAAACAAATTGTAAAAATACAATAAATGTCTCTGTGCAGTTTACCAAATCTCTGAAGCACTTTGGGGAGGAAGAAGGGAGGATGCAGCCCGATGAGTTCTTCGGGATCTTTGACACCTTCTTACAGTCGTTTAGCGAGGCACGGCAGGACCTGGAGAACATGCAGCGCCGTAAAGACGAGGAGGAGAGGAGGGCACGAATGGAGGCCATGGTGACACGCACATTCAGAGAATAAACCCTGAGACACCAATAAACAAAACAAAAATAATGTGTCTAACTTCCGGTTTCCATTTTCAGCTCAAGGAGCAGAGGGACCGGGAGCGTCGGGCCAAGAAGGGCGGCGCTTCAGACGAGGTCGGCGGGGAGTTTGACGACCTGGTGTCGGCACTGCGCTCCGGTGAGGTCTTCGACAAGGACCTGAACAAATTCAAGCGGAACCGCAAGCGCTCCGTCAACCAGCTGGTGGAGGGCGGGGGCCGCGAACGAGCAGTCACTAAGGTCAATTACTAGGTCGGGAAAAAGGAAGGACAAAAAAAGAAAACACTAGACACGTAAATACTGCCGTGGTGTAGATCTCTTAACACCTTTAGTCCAGGTCCTGGAATAGCGACCATAGACATTGGAGAGGATGTAAGTAACGGCTGGACTGGACATGTAGCGACATGTATGGACAGCCACACCATTTTGAAGGACGCATCACCCTCCTCTGATTGGTCTCCTACAGCTATTCCTAACTGTTTGTCCTGGGCGTTGTATTTGGATCTAATGGATGGACAGACAGACCACTGTGACACATAATCCCGCCATCTTTTGACCTTATCTTCTTAACACTGTGCTCAAGCTTCCAGCCCTCTACCGCTCCCTGTTTTTCACTGCTCATTTCCCCTCTCCTCGGTGATAGAGCGGCCCTATCTTTTTACTCACTGGCTTCAAAAAACACATGGGACTTTGGGATCAGCCAGTCACATTGTACATAAACTTTAGGGCCAAGAGAAAGCATGGGAAAAAGAAAGTGGGAACAGGGAAGTAAGCCATAACCTTCACAGTCATGGTTACTTCAAGTGTCCCGCGGAAAGTGTTATATCCACAGAATGGATGGGTGTTCTTAAAACTTCCTTCATTGGAAAGAGGGGCTTGTCTTCGGCAAATCCCAGAATGCTTTGTAGGCTTCTGAAAGATTTCATCCCATCAGCCTCCTCCAGCGCACAGCATTCCCAGGAAGGATGTACGTACGTACGTACGTACGTACGTACGTACATACATACCAAGCTTCGATTTTAAGAGGATACTCTGTTCAAGGAAAAACTAAAAAGTGATGACTGTGCCACAAGGGTCAATCCTCACCTACACTCCTAACTGCTTTTGACATTGTTCTGGCATTAACCCGTGCCAAAGCAAAACAAATGTACATGTATTAATAGAAAACATACTGCAATTAGGAGTTGATATATATTTATATTTAGATGCAGACAAGCTAATTGCAAAGATGTAGAGTTTTTTTTTTATGTTTTCATGGCATTTTGGGGTTTTGTACACGCAATGCATTATTTGTTGGTGTTGCAAGTTCACATTGCTGTTAAAGTGAATTTCTATACATTTTGCGCTTTATGTAAAAAAAGATAATTGCTTGTCCTTTTCACACCTGTATGTCTTGTTTGCACTGTAGCTTTTCTGACCAACTTTACACTCCATGAGCCGATCTACAGGGTCCTCTGGAAAAAGTCCTCTCTGTACTTCAATTACCTTCCCTAGGCCTAGAACAAAGATAATGCCATGTCTGAATTTAGATCTGCAGTTTAGGGTTTCTTAAGTTAAACTAGTGCTTGATCACTCGGTTAGTACGGAGGCCAACAAAGCTGGAATTGCCATTTTTGTTTTCTGATGCGTTATCGTGAAATCACAAGTTACATTTTTCGCCATATTGAGAAAAAACAAGCTTTGCTATCTCCAGATAATCAACCCGTTATCACAAGAAAATTAAAGGTTATTTTACTTTAAATGTATGTTTATGGGATCAGGAGTACAATACATATATATGACGACGCGACAACTAAAGCAACTGATGTAAGCTTACAAAGTCAGATCATGGAATACCCATTATTGATGAACGCATCAGATTGTGGTTCAATCGAACTGAAAACGGAGTTGTGTCTTTTTGAAAGACATAATATTCACATAACCCATAGTCATATCAGGAGAAGACCAATACAAAAGTAGTTACTTTTCAGTTTTAAATCATCTGTGACCAAAGGCTAAAACCATGTGTGAACAAGACACTCCTTTTTTTAAATTACATAATTATTGTGAGATTCTGAAAAACTAAAAATTGTTTTTCCTTGTGATCTTATTATCTCAACAAATCCGCCTTTGTTCTCCTGGGAATTAACCTACAGTAATCAGTCATCCCGAGAAAACTAGCTTTTGTCTGGTGGCATGAGACGCCATTACAAAAAGAATAGCAGAAATGGCCCTTCTGGTCCTCCGTACAGTTACTTGGTTTAAGGCTTATAATGCAGTATTTATGTGGATTTGTATTTAAATTGGCATAGTAATGTCAGATAAACCATTTGATCAGTCTACAACAAAAGTCAGGGTACAACAAAGCACTTATAGCGCCTCAGAGAGCGTCATAGAAAACAATCCTTACTTCGACCTTTCCTTCAATCTTCTCTCAGATGTTTCAGTCCCCGTTACTATGGGCAACATGTTGCCAAGCAAGAGTCCACATCCTGTTGCCAACCTAGGTCTCTTTTCTTTAAGTTGTTACCGTATTCATTCTTTTATTATTTGTATATGCATTTCTAAATTGTTAATATGGAAGATCATTAGGGCCACAAGTGTTTGTTTTTTCAGATAATATAGTGAGAAATGTGGAGAAAAAAAGTCAGAATTCAGATTTTTCAGAGCTCAAAGAAAAAATAAATCACTTTTGGTAAGATCCAAAAATACATTCACATGTGGCCCTAATCCTCCTCCGTAGATGGCAGTAGGCATGACCATGGCTGCAACCCATTTGAGTTATTCCATCTGCATTGCATGGTTACTGCAGCACAGCGTAGGGCTTTATGTAATGTCCAACAGTACAGTGGGAAAATTGGACTTGGTCTTCTTTGGAGAGGATAAAAAGATAAAGGAAACATCCCGTGTTTAATTTTCCTCTGTCTGGCATGTGTCCTTATTATGGTTAGATCCCAGAGCTGTTGCACCAAAGCATTTGCACAACAGCTCCTGGATCAGTTGGAAAGGGGTTGGATTTACATGGTTGTTCTCATAGTAACAGTTACAGTTAAACACAAATAGCTCATATTGAAGATTCTTTGTATCACTTTAAATAAGAAACTATTTAATTGCACTTGTCTCAATAAGCACTTTGTGTATTAACAGTAGTGTTAAAATACACAAAAAAATAAATTTCCAATGAATTATTGAGCATCTATATATACAGCTATCCCAGTTTTGTCTCTCATTCATTTTGCCAGCTTTTCTGTTTTGTTTTTATTTTCACCTTGAAGTGCCTCTCACCTGTTTTCACACATGTACCATTCCTATCATTGTGTTTTAGTGCTTGTGGCTTTCCAAAATAATACACGGTGTTTGCGACAGTTGGAATTGGACTACTTGGCGCCATCTTGTGGCCTCAGATGTGCACTTTCATGTTCCACCTGACGTCTCAAACATCAAATAGCAGCTCTCCAAAGTGATAACATTATGCAACTCTTCAGAAGAGTATAAGGGCCAGGCATTAGGCAGCAGGACATTATTTGTATTTGTCTTGCCTTTAGAGAATAAAATCGAACATTGCGTAGATGCAAATTAGTTGAGTAGATTTATTCTGAAAAGTTTAACCTTCTTTAATTTTGACTCCATTCTCAACAACTTGATCCTAAATATTTCAAAACTATTCTCTGTATTTTGACTCTATTCTCAACTTCATTCTTAAAAACAACATGAATTATTTCCACCTCTTACCTGGCCTTAATACTCTTCCATAGGCAATTGTTCCAAGCTCTAGGCTTAAGCTCACCAAAGTTCCCTCTATTAAAGTCCGGCAGGTGTACTACACTATGGCTGCCATGTGATTAGAGATGTTCGACATACTACCTGTAGAGAGAAATTCCTTTTTCCCTAAACGTTTATTTATTCCATCCTTTATCAGTCACATTGCAGAGAAACCTACTCCTACCATGTGTATAGTCCTTTGTCCTTTAACCTCATAATAGCATCACTCTGCAAAAAAAAACAAAGAGAGATCAGAGAGGATCTTTAAGTTCCTTTGTCCCACACTTTAGAGGATAACCAGTAATCCAAATAGAATAAAATCAGACACTTTGAAAAGTCCTAAAGGGAAAAGGACATGTGGTTGCTTATTCTCTAACCAGCATCTCATGTATATTTGAGCTATTCGATTTCCTAACCTCTGCTCTTTTGTCTTTCCAGTAAACCAGGGTTGGTATATCAGACTTTTGCAGCACCTTTAAACTCTTAATCCAGAGCTTTAACACGTTTTGTAGTGCAGACTATTTACTGAGGGATATTGTAATATTTTCAGTATTATTAGGATTATGTTGTTACATGCTTGGATGTTTATTCGGCCATTGACTGGCTGATTTTGGAGTGTACAGATGGAAAAGGAATGAAATTAGTAGCTTGTTCAATGCACTTTTGTCAGGGGACATTTTAATTTGCATAGTATTTTGAGGATTTAGAGCCCTTTTTTAAATATGAGAGGGGTGCAAAAAAGCATGGTGTGAAGAAGAGAGAAAAGGGGCAAGTGAGGTTCGGACTCCGCTGAATACACATTAACAGAGTTTTTAACCCCCACCAGTTTGGGTCACCTGTAAAAAGAAAAGTGTGTTTCTGACACCGCCACATTTCTGTCAAATCATGCACTTGGCGTTGACCTGCATGCCTAAAGAAGGGTGCACAAAGTGTGATGTGTTGAGTTCATTAGAATATTGCTTGCAATATGATACACACCTGTTACACAACAATTTGTACTGCCTAAGAAAAATGCACCCAGTTTCAGATGTTGTATTATTGTGAGCAGCCAGTATTTTTAAGGTTGGAAAGAAAAGGTATCCTCCACCGAAAGATGTACAGAAGTGGAAAAAGCATTTTGTACACCATTCTTGATGTTTGAGATAAGGTAATAAAAAAAAAAATTAAAACATTGAGGAATGTTCAATTTTCCTGTAAATTGTACCGCTATTTATTTGCCTTATTTAGTTTGCTATATTTTGTATGTCCATACAGCATTACGACAAATTGTTATATTAAAAATATGAATAATTAAACTGTGGTCCGTGTATAGTTTTAAGACATAAGGATGACATATGAGAATTATTTTCTTTTCTCTTCCATTTCTATTATTTTCGTTTTGTTTTTTTGTTACCCTGGTCCTTTTGTAGGGTTACAATAAACCTTTGTCCCTTGCAACTGATTGTGAGAATGATTTCTACATGCTTACACTGTTTAGTTAAATATAAATGTGTCATGCTCCAAAGTTGTGCAATCATTTACAATAGTTCTGTCTAATTAGTCTATTCATTTCCCATTGACAGGAATTATTCTACAACCATTTAAAATATTTTGAAATATTTTCATTTTACCTTTTAAATTATATATTTTTCAGATATTTTAAAGACCAAATCACCGCTTGAACAATACAAAAGATTGATTTATTGATAATAAAAGTAATTCTCACTTGCAAACTGATGTAATCTTTTCCATGTGAAAAACCCTGTGGAAATGAATCACAAATGCTTTCAATACAAGTTCTTACATCTTTATTAATAATAGTGATGCAGTCGTTATAAGAATAATTATGATAAACATTCAAGTGTACATTTCCTCTGAATGATGATGTGTTGTAGTTCCTCACTGTCACCACTGAGGGGCAGTGACTCAATACATTACATTTAGCTGAAGCTTTTATCAAAAGCGATTTACAATAAGTGCAAATAAAGATTCAAACTCCGAACAACTAGGAAAGTGCAGATATATTCACTTCAAGCAGGCCATATCATTTTAAGTGCTGGTGACTTTTTAAATTATCTACAGTATGCTGACCATTCAGCCTGTACTGTATGATGCAACGTGCAGCTGAAAGTTTATGTTTTGCAGTTCATTTTTTATAAAAGAAAATGAAATTAATGAAATCTACTCAGAAAATAATTCAAAATTTCTTTTGTACAATGAAGTTTTATGTGACATTGGAGGCACCCATATTAACATCGTAATGTAATCAATATTACGTGTCTGATTGTAATACTGTAGGTAACTGTTGACTTAATCAAATGCAATTTAACTGAAATTTAAAAAAACATTTTTGACCTGAAAAAAATTGTTTTAAAGATAAACACCTTTTTTCAATTTTCTTTAATTAAACCACAATGGACATCGCAGGAAAAAGATTAAAGAATACTTTAATTTCTTAAGGGAAATAAATGTGTCCCAAGCAACTCACAGCTTGCTTTCACTTATGGAAATAAAAAGCATTGCAATGAAGTGAGCTGAAAGCAGAGTGAATAATACAATCAACTATTTGCCATGATACAAAAGCTATAACTTGGGTTGACTAGTGATGATCATACTTACATTAGAACTGACAACATGAATATGAAACATAATACTACAGGCTGTATCTGTTGTTGTGCAGGCAGTTGAATTACACATGTTGTGCTACCATCAAATCAACAAACATAATCAATGAATTTCTTTCTAGGGTAAATATAACACATAACAACAAAAATAATGTAATCATGTAGTATAATGAATGCAATAGTCAGGAGTGCCCAAAACACCGGTCAATCGCAAGGGCAGTGTGGGTAGATCGCATGGCATTGAAAAAAAAAGAAAGAAAAAAATGAGTTAGCCTAGATGATAGGCTAACTTTTTCAAAGTTAGCCTATCATCTATCCTTACTATGGCATTTGCCACTTGATTGGCGTACAGGTAAGCCAGTCTGAGTTGTATTGTGCCATACGGGTTCATGCAGTTATGAGGGGGCCTCACCTCCTCATCTGAAGCGCACTGTTATACGCTTATGCGGCGCAATTAGTGTAAGCGCGGCGCAATTAGTGTAAGCGCGCCACAGTTTATCCGCCGTTTTAGTCCACTAGCACGAAATAATTAAGACCTTCTAGTTTAAATTAAACATATACTGTTTAGATACCATGATTCATATTGTATGGGATTAGTGAGAGGTCAAGTCATTTAACCTCGGTACAATGTTAGTGGAGATGAAAATCATGCTAACTACTGCTAGAATTTGTGTAGAACTTCATGTGATAAGAGCATATATTTTTTAATTATTACGATGGCATACATTTCATTTTTGTAGAAAAATATTACAACGCCAGTGAAGATTGATGCAGTCAGTGGAGGGACTAAGTCAGGGATGACGATGAAAGTCCCTCTTCCCTCCTGTCTTGCTGACCAGTTTCACATCAGTGATGATGATGTCATGGCTCACTGCCTTGCACATGTCATAGATGGTCAGCGCAGCAACGGAAACGGCTGTCAGGGCCTCCATCTCCACTCCTGTCTTGCCCGTAGTGCGACACGTTGCTGTGATGACCGCAGCGTTCTGCTGCTCGTCCAGGTCGAAGGTGACAGATGCATGGTCTAAGGGGAGGGGGTGGCAGAGCGGGATGAGGGCTGAGGTCTGCTTGGAAGCCATGATGCCAGACAGCTGCGCCACAGCCAAGGCGTCACCCTTAGCCAGCTGGTTATCCCAAAGCAGCCGGAAAGCAGTGGGGCCCAGGATGACGGTGGCGCGGGCTGTGGCTGTTCGACGTGTGGGAACTTTCCCCCCAACATCCACCATGTTGGCTCGGCCCTGTGTGTCTGTATGCGTTAGCTGGGCTTCATCCAGCTCAGTGTTATAGACATTTGTGCCCGACTGTGTCTGATCACTCACAGATGGTCTGAGTTTGACACTGGGGTCTTTGCTGGAGCATTGATTGTGGCAAAGTCTTACATTGTGTTGTTTAAGATTAATTTTGGGATTCATGAGTAATGTGCAACAAGTGGGTGTTCCTGGGGGCCTGAGTAAGTGGCTCTTCAAAGCATTGTGACCACTGGCTTGTGCGTACCTGAGACAGCCTTCATTAATGTAGCTCCTAACATTTGTGCGTGTATTTGTGTTGATATGCGACGTAACACCGGTACCCCCACTTGTTAAGGTTCTAAGGCAGCAAACATGGGCTGCCTGTGTTGAAGCAGTGCAGTCTGGAAGGCAAAAAAACCCCTCTCTATTCAGGACTCTCCTGTGAGGAGCCGCTTTTGGAGAGAGGAATGTGTCGTTTCTATAATGGGAAACTATGGGGGAAGATGTCGTTTTGTCTTGAGATAAATGCCTTTCAGATGTAGTGTCTGTTGGAAAAAGAGGACGTTAGTCAAGGACACAGGGTCACCAAACACAACAAACATTCACAGTTCAGATAAAAGTGTTCTTTTGTTATAAGCTAAATTTGTAAATGTTGAAATCTGTATGATATGCAGGGCAGCTATAGTGGTGTAACCCATTAGTATCATAACATCACAAATAAGTCACGACTAAGCAGAGTGTCTCCGAGAGATTTGTACGTACAGCCATGTCACCCACCAATGAGGATCATAGGCCTGTTCTTCATCTGGGAAATGTTGAACATGCCTGAGGAGACAAACAAGAAGAGATAAAAACTCAAGTAGAACAAATGATCCTTGATATTATGAGATTAAAGAGTGCTGCAGGGGTGACTAATTTGGAAATGACCTTTGCGTTGTTTCCCTTCACAAAAGGCCATTATGATTTTGGGTGATTGAAAAAAACGCTCTAAATGCTTTGTTCAGCAAAAAGAATCTTCACAAATGACCTTCCTCTGAAGCTCAAAGCAATTAACAGAAGTCAAAAGCTAACGTTAGGCTACAGAGAAATGTCACCAGATCTAAGCTACATGAGGAATAGTGTTTAGTAGGGATGCTCCGATCGCCAATTTTGGGGACGATCGCCGGAATCAGTATCGGCTGACACCGATCGCCGATCCGATTGGGCGGGGCCTATGGGGATCTTCCATTTAAAGTGCTGTTTAAAACTCAGTTAATGGAGCTCATTCACTGGCGCTTCCACAAACAACAACCAGCATAATTATTACATTCAAATGAAGTACATTATTCAAGTTTACATTAACTTTGGATAATAACACGGGAGATTAGCGGAAGCGCTCTCTCTCCTGACAGCCTGTCAGTATCGTCTCATGCAGCTCGCTGATCCAGTAATGAGTGATCCGACAGTGAGGAATAAATATATGTATAACTAGTTTAGCTTGTTCCAGAGGTAGATAAAATAGCTAAGTATGTAAGGTCTAACTCTTAGTGTGTGTTGCTCCGCTCACCGGTCCGTCACAGCGGGCAGAGCCTCAGGTTTTCTGCTTCACACTCGTTGCATACCGCTATTTTATTGTCTTTTTCGGACACCTTAAAATAATGCCAGACCGGTGAAGCCATTTTGGCGAGCTTGTGTTGCCGCGCACAGAGAAAAGTGTCATGTATTTTACGCCATGTGATCTGCCTTTATAGAGAGCACCGATCGATCGGCCGAGAGTGAATATCGGCCGATCGATCGGGGCATCCCTAGTGTTTAGCATGATGACGGTTAGTCTCTTTTAGCCACTTGTTAGCATTTGTTTGTTTGTTTTATTCGATGGACAATCTGCACTAATGTACATTCTCAAAATATTGAAGTGACTGTTATTTTGTATATATTGATTGTTGTGTTTTTATTTAGGTCTTAATATGTGCACATGTAAGGATGCGTCTTTGACTGTGTATATACATACATATTCGCACAAATATTTTTATTTTGATATTCTATATACATTTGTTTTTATATTCGGGATTGTGGGAAACAGTATTTTAATCTCTCTGTCTGTACACACAAACTGGAAGATTGACAATAAATTTGACTTTGACTTGACCTGAACATTTGGGGTAAAAGTGGGGTATTTACTGACCGAATAAGTAAACGTGAACACCTCTCAAACCTTTATAAACCAAAGACCTTATTTCAGGCTAACCAAAAACCCATTGACTTAGAGACGAGTGAACCGAAAGTGCAAAAATGCTTTTTAGGGGTTTACACTCCACATTGATGCGTTTACTATAAATGAACTCAAACGAACACAAGTCTACCTGCATGTTGTTTCTTCTTCCTGCCAACAGCAGCTCCAACGATTTGCAGTAGCTCTTCTTCCGATACTCCGGAGCGCAACACATCTCTCAGAGACACCTCAGTGTTCCCAAACAAACACACCTGAGAGGAGAAAGGTAAGAGGGAGTGAAGCGAAGACATTTCAAATAGAATTCATAAAGGTTCCAAAGAAACGATGGGATCATTAACAATATGTAAATGTATGGGTATGTACCAACACAAATACTGCATTACAAAATATTAATACTAAATCAGACCACATCAATACTTCTAGAAGCCCAACTGTATCTTTACCTTCAGGTTGCCGTCTGCAGTGATACGTAAGCGGTTGCAGGAGCCGCAGAAATGGTCAGACATGGAGGTGATGAAGCCCACCTGCCCTGTGAAGCCTGGGACCTTAAATGTCTGTAACAAGACATAAATAAGGGTCAAACAATTATCCTAGAAAAAGAATACTCTAAAATGTGGCGCATTTAATAATAAAATGATTGATTTGGCAAATTGCTTTGATCAGATGTGTCAGAAGATTTAGATTTTCTCTTGTATTTCAGTTTTTCGTTGGCCAACTTATTATAAACTAATGACTCCAGGAACACAGATGTGTGCTGAAAGATTAGAGTCGAACTAACATTCAAGTCATTTAGAACGATTCAAATTGCCAGAAGTAAGACCAATGTCCACAGTCAATAACCTCAACAGGATTGAATGGTAATAGCATCATTGCTTTTTTTGGATCCTAACTAATTGATCAACACATTATATTTCATTAAGCTGACGTGTTTATTCAAAGTGTTTAATAATAAGTGGAAGCAACCATTAGGACACAAACAGCAAGAAAGTACATTAGCTTTTAATAAGCCATAACATTTATACTTGAGAAATATGAAGTGCAGTTTGAGGTATTGACCTTGGCTGTTTCTGTGTGTCCGGTTTCCAGCCTTTCCAGGTTGGGCCACTGCTGCCTGATGTGGTCCAGCATCTCCTGGTAACTCACCATCTTCTTAAAGTTCCACTTGTTTCCTGCAGAGAGGAGAGAAGCATTGTCATGTAGATTGTAGCACAAGCTACAGCACAATTCAGCTCCTAGGCAATATAACAACCTATGTGTGTGTAGTAGTACATCAGTTAGGTTTCTGCAAGTTGAACTGAAGATGGTTGATTCAGTGTCTGCTGATTTACAGACAAAGTTGTAGTACCACCTTTTGGCCCAAGCCCTGAGGAAGTGTGCAGGACGTTGAAACAAATTACCGCCGTCTGTAAATCAGCAGATCATTTTTTTAAACAAAATGTATTACCCACTATGGACACATAGCCCTTATTTCTTCAATAGGGAGTAAAAGTTGTAAAGTGTGCTAAAAGCTGAATGCAGAGTTCTTTTACCTCTTCATTCATTTGAAAACCCAACCGTGCACACTCTATGGGCCCGGATACGGTTACGGGTACTTTTGCTCTCAAGGGGCAGGCCAATTTGGCTTAATGTGCAATTGAGCAACGTTCATAGGAATGAACGAGGTCCCCACTCCAACGTTGTTCTCTTTATACATCCATGGTTTGGCTGCTATTTCCTGGGGTCTTGGGCTGCACTTGTTTTTTATCTTTGTTTATTGGCAGTTTTCAAACCAGCTTGAAAGGTGCACACTACTGTATCTGTGCTCAGATCATATCATACATCCCAACTTTGTCTAAACTATGACTGTAATATGACTCTTCAGTTTTCAGACCTGCGTAACAAGACATTGTGGGAAGGGAGCACTCACCATCGAAGGGCATGTATTCAATGAAGCGCACATCCAGAGGCTTCTTCTCTGTCAGCGCCACGAAATCTAGCAGCTCATCCTCGTTGAGGCCTCGCATCACCACACAGTTAACCTGCAAGGGGCAACACAGCAGGGTATGTGAGCCTGTTCAGAGTGTTGCTTTGTTCATTAGTTTGTTTCTCTTTCTTCCAGTCACAATGCAGTAGGGAACTATGGTAGGTAGCATTAGACACAGACAGCAAATCAGAGTGCAGCTCAATGACTTTCTAACCTTTGAGGGCAAGTGTTAGGACATGGAGGAAATATTATATTCAGCAATATTGTTACGACACTGTGCTGCCACAGCACTTTGGCATTAAGAGTTAGTGAGAGGAAACATAGTTGAAGCATTCAAAAAGGTTATCAGATTATTAAGAGACAACAAGAGGTCCAAATAAACATGGTAAATGTATCACTGAAAAGAGTTCCTCATATTTATGAGTATCGAGCTATATTATTTCCAAAACGTATGATTCAGTAACCGTACATTTGTTTTCTGTAAACATCGTTCATATTAAATGACAAAAATAATTTAATTAAAATCACAGGTAAAAAAGATGCAAGAAATAGGAAGATTAAAACATACAAATATTTTCTCAGACAGAGACATGATAAGAAGGATTTAAAATGTTAAGGAAATATAAAAGATTTTTACTATATTAGACATCAATCTGTTTGTTTAAAAAAATGTGTTTTAAAAGTCAAAGATACAACAAATAATACAACAAATCAAACATAAACGAGATGCAAGAAATAAGAAGATTAACATTTTGTTTCTTGTTAAGACATAAAACTAAGCAAAAATATAAATTGGTTCCTAGGTAAAACATTTTAAAAAGATGAACAAAATACCTTGACAGGGTTGTAGCCCATTTCGATGGCCTTATCAATGCCCTCCATGACCTTGTGGAACCCTTGAGGAAAAACATGGATAGAAATTGATTATGAGTGTTTAAACGTCATTCAATTATGAATCATTATATGAACACATTCGTTTTACTGTGATATCTTGAATTTAGTGCTACGAGGCAAAGACGGAGTATGATTGGAGGGACGTTTTAAATAAAAATGTATAGAGCCATACTACAAGCACATACACTTAAAATGGATTCATGTTCTCCAAATGTGGGCTACTTGGCAGAGCTTTACAACATACTTCAGCGTTAAATGTTTGCTTCCTTTTCTAAGCTGTCTGAATCCATGATTGGCCAAAAAACACTGATATGTAAAATCTACATTTATTCCCTCAGAAGCGGAGCTTTTTTGGCAAAAGTCACACATCATTTTTCATCTGCACAGACCATGGCAGTGTCACGCTGGCTGGTAACTCCCTCTGTAAATACC